GTTGTTGCTTGTTTTTCCAAGGCTTTTTTTCAAATTTTTTTATTTTGTTTCGAAATAACTTGAAACTTGAGAAGTTATATCAGATTATTATTATAAATCTCTTGGAAAAATTGTGAAAATTTAATTTCGGTCGTTAATTTTCATCGAATGATTTATTTTTAAAAGATAAAAAAACGATAATTTTATGCTATTGCATATTTTTCATTTTACTGCTGTTTTTTTGAAATATATGCTTTTTCAAGTATCAAGTTTGCTAATTCAATGCAATTCAATGCAATGATATTTTTTTGAAAGAAAGTTTTTTTCAGAAATTTTTCCTGCAATCCAAAGACTTTGGACCAAAGTTTTCTGCACGGAAATTGAAAAAAATTCTGAAAAAAACAGCTCAAAAAGGCCAATTTTTCTCATATGAAATTGTTTTTTTCATTGATTCATTTTTTTAAAAAGGTACACCCTGACTTTATTTCACGATATCTCCAAGACTCCAATTTTTTTCTTGATCAGTTTATTAACATATAATGAACAACAAGTACACAAGAAACATAGAAAAATGAGAAAAGTCAACAATTTTCGGGGATCACTTAAGGGGGTGCTTTTGAAAAGCCCGAAAAAAATGAATGATACCCGAAAATTGGAAGAAATTGAAAGAAAAGTGAGGGAACAACTTGAAGAGGTCACTCAAGGGAAATTTTTGTAAAATTGGCTTTTCTAGCCGCAACCCGCCAATGTACCATGAATAAAAAAGAGAGAATATGAGAATTTTTGAGTGTTCACTTGAGGGGAAAGAAATGAGTCAACTTAAGGGGTCAATTCAAAGTTTTCTCACTGCTTGCCTCGGTAGTAGACGCGCATCGGATCATGGCTGATCAGAAGAGGTCGGGAGAACCGACGGAGAGGAGCTGGAGCAGCTCGCACAGGCTCCGCCTCCTCTTCCTCCTCTTGCGCGCCAGAATCCTGAAAGGTGATAGCGATGATAAAGGTTGACGGACCAATAGAAAGGTCAAAGCTCTCTCGCAATTCTGTGAGGCTTGGAGCTTCTGGTCTGGTCTTGAAAAGGTACTATTCTTCTTAAATCCCTACCGATCCACCAGAGATCGACTCTCTTTCCACTTCTGCTTCCTCCTCGTCGTCCTCGACGTTCTCGTCCTGGTCCTGACGGCGTGGAGGGTCCCGATAGCGCCAGCGAAGTGGATCATGGGCCATCAGGACCATCCGACGGGGAGCTGGATCAGCTTCAGGATGTGGAGCACGTGGACGGCGGCGACTCTCTTTTTCAGAAGCTTCGTCCTGGAAAAATAGTTGTTGAAACGGACTTGATAATGATGAGCTTACATTACCGCGTCAGTCTAGAAATTCAGCTTTATTTTTTGGGCTTAACCTAACTGGAATTTTGAAATTTAGCTTTCTCTACACACATTATGAAGATGATAGTGTGGAAAAATAGTTGAAAATCAAACTTTAACCTTGATTTCGAGCTTCAAATTGAGCATAAGATTTGGATTTTTCGAGCCTTTTTTGATCAAAAACCCATACTGAAACGTGAAAACTGCTTGATTAACCTTTAGACAAGTCAAGGATGAACTCAAGAAAATCTAATTTTGAACATATAAATGAAAAAAGACAAAAACAATTTTTTTATTTTTGATCAGGAAGAAAAAGCACTAGGCTGTTCAAATATATATATACTGGATCAATTTCTCAAAATAATCTTGAAGGATTTGGAAAATGAAGAAAATTGTCATGATACTAGCCATTTTTTGTCAAAAAGGAATATTTTACCACAAAAACTAGTCGATAAACCAAAGCTGGATAAATCAATCCAAGAAAAATCCAGTTTTGAGGGTATAAAATGGAAAAAAAAGATGCTAAAAGCCAAAGAAGATTCTATTTTATAGGGTAATCAACAAAACTACTTTTTTATACGTATTAAAACAATGAGAGGGTCAAGGAAGATCATATTTGAATAATAATAATAATAACAAAAATAAACCGAAGATTTCCCTGAGAAAAAAAAAATGGAAATGTGTCTACAAAAACTAACGGTTCTCCTGTTTCTTAGCGAGCTCGGGCCTGGCCCAGGCGCGCCCTCCTCCATTTCCGAGTTCTCGAGCGAGGAAACTCTTAACCTTTTCGACCTCTGTTCAACTCCAGCCTGACGACGTCTTTTCTAGAAAAAGTGGGAAAATACGAGAAATTCCAGGGAAATTATTTACATTCGCCCTTGGCGCCTCTGCCAGGACTCGCCTCCGTCGGTTTTCATCTTCTTCCTGAGGATCGGGAAATGAAGATGATTATGGCTCCGAAAACTAACTTGGTGGGCTGTATGAACAAAATTGAGAAAGACTTCAACGTCTTCGAACTCCTGCCTAGACAAGCCAATGATTCGCTGCCGAACTGTCATTTTTCTTCTGGAAAAGGATGATTTTCAGAATAGGATATGAAGAAACGGAATAAAAAACCAGTGAATCAATTTTCACTAAGGATCATTTCAGAGCCCTTTCAAAGAAAATGAATCTCTTGACAAAAATCAGAAAATCTTTCAAAATGGTCAGTTTGGAAAGAAAGAAGAAGGCCATATCCTTACTGGGAAAATTTTTAGTGGCCACTATAGGGTTTCGAAGTTTTAGTAGCTATTATAGTAGTGAAATTAGTGGCCACTTGAGGGGTAAAAAATAGTGGCCACTATAGAGGTCTAAGTGCTACTACTAGACTGCTCAGTGGCCACTTTAGGGGTCAATGAATCAACATAACTGGTTCAATCTGTTTGTTTGAAAATAATCAGAGTTACTGAAAGAAAAATCACTGAAGTGGCCACTAAACGGAAAATAGTGGCCACTATAGAGGTGGGTTTAGTGGCCAATTTAGTGTCCTCTCCAAGTAGTCCTTGGCGAGCCTCTATAGTGACCACTAAAAATTTTCCCAGTATATTATCAAAAGTTCCTCAAGAAAAGTTAAAACCTAAAAAATACAATCTTTTAGACTAAAGAAAATCAAAAAACAAAAAAAAGAAAGAACAGCTCGGCAGAGCCAACACGGACCAGAATGAATAGTTTGGGAGGCGGTTTGGGACTCGGGCCGAAGCTCCGCCTCTTTTCGACACTTGGGCCTTTTCCCGCACGCCTTGTTGGATCATCCCAAGTCATTCTGAAGCGAGAAATTTGCCAGAGGCACTGGTAATGGAGATTTTTGAAGGTCAGGGATATTAGTTGGTCTTTTTGGAGCCATTTTGAATTTGGTGAAAGATTTTGGTATAGTGTATGTTTGGATACTGCGGACGGTTTGGTCGGAAAAAAATTTTTCGAGGAAGTTTATACCTTTTAAAATATTCTCAGGTAATTTTAGAGCGAACTTGTGATTGCTATTTTGAAAAAAGTGGAAAAAAAATTGGATAAATGGTTTAAAATAAATGAGTCTAACTATAAATTTGCTGAAAATAAGTTCATATAATTTATTGATAGGTAAAAATGAATCATGAACACCGATATCATAACGGAAACTGTTGAAAATGTTTGCAATGAAATAAAATTTGGAGTCAGTTTGAATGAATTTTTTTCGGATATTATTTTGAAAGTATATTTTTTTTGAAAGGGATGAAGAATTGAAAAAAATGTTCGAAGCTCGAATTTATTCCTTTTTACTCAACAAAGGACACCTTTTTAAAACCATCATGATTCCTTGAAATTTTTGAAAGTTAGTCGAATTTTCACAAGGGTTCCATTCCTTCCTTTTGATGCTTTCATAAGTTTTTACAAGATCAAACCCGTTATTTTTCCGATTTCGCAGATATTTTGAAATAGAGAAAGAAAAGTTTATATGGTTGGCAAGATCTCCTCGCACTTCTGCTCGGAAAAAATCGCACCTCATCAGCCGCGAAACTCGGCTCCTTCCAAGGTAACGACATGCCTGAGGAAGGGTCAAGTTATCACTTTTCGCGAATATTCGTCGCTTTTTTTGAGTTTTGAAGCGATAAATGCGTGACCAGCAAGGGAAAGTTGGGAATTCCTTGTCCTAACTTTATTCGAATTCAAAATATTGGCTGCGCTCTCCGGTCACAGTGGGACCTCTCAATGAGACAAAGTCTACTTGATGTAGTTTTTCACGCTGATTTCAAATCTGGTCTCAAAAACTTCTCTCAAAGCCTTTGAAAATAGTTATGGACCCTCAAAAGTCGAAAATTTCAGTGTTTCCGATTGAGCGTAATTTTAGAGCATACATATATTTTGTTCTTCTCCTAACATAAATTATTTTTCTCCAAAAAATTTTTGAGTCTAGATATGAATTTTTTCAAAGCTCCGCCAAACGTTAGGGAATGCAAGAGAAAGATGGGAATTCATAGTCTTGATTTTTAAAATTTTATAAACTTGGTGAAAATTTTTATACGGTAGGTTCACCTATTCCGTTTATTTCTGAGTTTCTCTTCAAATTTTCAGACAAGGTTTACATCACCATACCATCCCGATGTTGCGAAAAAAAAAATAAACAAATTGAATTGAATTGAAGGTTCTTTGATTAAGGATTAGGGAAGTCTAAAAAAGGAATGAAATGAAAAACTGATTTCACGCATCGTTTCCTTTTTTGATTAATTTGATTAACCCACGAATTCTGAATATATTCGAAGAAAAAAATTTGAATCGCAACGCGACCGCGACGCTTTGAGCCATTCTCGAGGGAAAATGGATTTTTCGAAATGCGTGGGTCAGTTTCTCATTTAAAGTTAATTATTTTCACACTTTTCTTGATTCGAACATCAAAATAACTTTTTTTTTCGAAGGCTTCGGTTCGTTGATTAAAAGTCGATAGACTTATTAGAAAATTTCCATTTCAGGGTATATATTTTTGGAAATTTCGCAATATTCGTTCAACTTTTCAATACAGGTGTGGGCATAAATATTGCACGGACTTTTCGATCATTCCAACTTTCTTTTTTGCCAATGCAATTTCAATCTGTTTTTTTTTTGTTTTCCACTTTGCGAACCGTCGCTGGTTTTTCCACCAAGATTTCAAGTCAAGCTGTAAGTCCCGAGTTGAGCAAGACCCGTGCGAGTCCAATCTGCCCGATTTCAACACGGTCAAGGAATGGACCGGTTACTCACCAGATTCGAACCCGTTGACAATTTTGCATATTTATATTTGAAGTTGAAGGCCTGGACAAATCTCTAGTTCAACCGGGACATGCTGATGGTCTCCATCATCAAGAATGGATGACAAGATCGATCTATGTCCAAGGGTCGAATATTTTTTCGAGAGAGTCAAGGCGCTCAGTGAGGCCAATGAAAGTCGGAGCGAAAGTTGAATTAAGTGTGCTAATTTGGATACCTTGCCGATAAAAAAAATTCAAACAATCTTGTCTGAATCCGTTCCTTTTGAAAGTAACGAAATTTTAAAAGCCGTGCAATCTTTTTGCCCACCGCTGTAAAACCGCAATCCCTTACGATTGGCGGAGCTTTGAAAAGTCATATCTAGGCTCGGAAAATTTTTTTGGAGAAAAGTTGTTTTATTTTAGGAGAAGAACGACATCTATGTATGCTCTAAAATTAAGCTCAATCGGAGCCACTGAAATTTTTGACTTTTGAGGGTTCATAATTTTTTTCAAAGGTCTCTTTGGCCTTTTTCGAGACTAGATTTGAAATCAGCATGAAAAACTACATCTAGTTAACTTGGTCTCCTTCAGAGATTCCCTGGTCAGAGTGCAGCTAATTTTTTGAATTCGAAAAAAAGAGATTTTCATAATATAAACTCCACAACTTTTTTTTTTAACTTTTCACGTATTTATCGCTTCAAAACCCAAAAAAGCGACGGATATCCGCGAAAAGTGATAACTTGACCCTTCCTCAGGCATGTCGTTACCTTGAAAGGGGTCGAGTTTCGCGGCTGATGAGGTGCGATTTTTTGGGAGCACAAGTGCCAGAAGACCTCACCAACCATAGGAATTCACCCTTCTTTATTTCCAAATATCCGTAAAATCGAAATTTTTGATTAAAAAACTGATGGAAGCATCAAAAGGAATAGAAAACGTGTGAAAAATTCGACAAACTTTCAAAAATTTCAAGGAATCATAATTGTTTTAAAAGGGTGTCCTTTGTTGATTCATGAGAAATAAATTCGAGCTTCGAACATTTTTCAATTCTTCATCCCTTTCTTTTAAAATATACTTTCAAATAATATCCGAAAAATATCCATTCAACTGACTTGAAATTTTATTTCGTTGCAAACATTTTTCAACAGTTTCTGTTATGTTAGCGGTGTTCATGATTCATTTTTTTACCTATCAATAAATTATATGAACTTAATTTTCAGCAAATTTATAGTTAGACTCATTCATTTTTAAACCATTTATCCAATTTTTTTCCACTTTTTTTCAAAAATAGCAATTACAAATTTGCTCTGAAATCACCTGAGAATATTTCAAAAGGTATAAACTTTCTCGGAAATTTTTTTCCGACCAAACCGTCCGCAGTTTCCAAACATACACTATGCCAAAATCTTTCACCAAATTCAAAAAAAAACTCCAAAAAGACCAACTAATATCCCTGACCTTCAAAAATCTGCATTCCCAATGCCTCTGGCAAATTTCTCACTTCAGAATCACTCGGAATGATCCGACAGGGAAAGGCCCAAGTGTCAAAAAGAGGCGGAGCTTCGGCCGGAGTCCAAAACCGCCTCCCAAACTGTTCATTCTGGTCCACGTTGGCTTTGTCGAGTTGTCTTTATTTTTTTATTTTTTTCACTTTATTTTTTTATCTTTGTTTGAAAAGTTGCGCTTCAATTTCTTTCTAGAGCAAAAACCACGTTATTTGATTTTTTTGTCTCGAGATTTCTTTTCTTTGAATATTTTTTTACTTTGAGAAGGTTCTGAAATTGTTATTTTTCATTTCCTTGCTTCTTTCTCTTCATACCCCCTTCAAGAAATCATCCTTTTCCTGTAGAAAAATAAGCTTTTCGCTCCGAATCATTGTAGGATTCTGACTTTATCGAAGCCTTTCTCAACCGTTTATTTTTCTTATTTTTCCAGAAAATAACCTGAAGATGAGCGCACCGTACCCGCAAAGACTCGAACAAGTGTTCGAAGATTTCCGCAACCCTAATAGGGAACTGGTCAGTTTTTCGAAAGTTAAATCATCTCCAAGTCCCAATTTTCAGTTGGAGCAGGAGAATCAACATCCTCAGCTGCCCAACCACGCAAGAGGACACGAAAATGTAAATAATTTCCTTGAAATTTCTTGTATTTTTGCATTTTTTCTAGAGAGCTGCGGGGTTCAATCAAAGACTCCCAAGGATGGCAGTTCCTCAGCCCGGGCCACAAATCGAGTTGGGCTCGGATGTGGAAGTGGACGGGGCCGGGCCCAGGCAAGGGCCTGTCCCAATGTCGTTGAGGAACCTCCTAAACATGAGAATCGTTAGTTTTTATTATTTTTTTCCTTAAAAAAATCATTTTTTTGTTCTGAAATGATGATTTTATTGGAATTGACAACATTATTTTTAGTTCAGAATGAAAAAAAAAAAAAATCTTTTTAAAATTCTATTTTTACAGGCCCAGCTGCAATACAATCGACGGCGAGGGATCCAAGAGGTTCGGATTTTTGAAATATCAAAATTGCCAAATATTATTCGTAACTTCTACTGGAGTCTGAACTTTGTCTCATTTTGATGATTTGAAAATGTGATTTCTAGAAATATAAAAGATATTGATATTTCTTTTGCCTAACTTGTAAGATTTTATGAAAACTCTTGTTCTCTCAATATTCATAGGAAAGTTTTTCATAGGGGCAGTAAAAAATGGTGTTTGAGGTAAAAGCAGTATCTTATATAGTTTTTTTATTTGTGAATCGAATGGTGTACTCAAAAAAAGTTACAGATGTGACAACTTTAGAAAAAAAACGCGATTTTACTTTCTCGCCTTCAATTTTGAAAAAAGCTTTGGATCGGCCTACGGGCAACTGATTACAGTAGCTGTGCACGTGATGTTGCGGACGTCTCATTAGACTCGCATTTTGTGAGAAATAACCGGATATTTGCTTCAAATTAAAGGTTTCTTCTCTGAAAAACATTTAATCAAACAAAAAACACACATTGATAATAAAGAAAACACAAATAATCGCTATCCCAATCGAAACCTGTGTGAAATCATCATTTTCACCAGAAAAGCTTTTTTGCGATCAAAGTTTGCAAATTATACATGAATAGAAAGCTTTTGTGACGAAAAAAACTTTAATGACAACAGAAAAATTGAAAATTGAAAGAAACGAAGAAAAAAGCGAAAATGCGAAAAATGGCGAAGCGTGTTGTCCATAGAGCAACTTTACTGAAAAGCGCCCTTTTCGCGACAACTCAAGCTTTCCTCCCCCCGACTTTGAATAATTTTTTCTTCAAAACTAGGAACTTTTGTACGTTTTCAAGTTCACCGTTCGATTCGCAATGAAAAACTCTACAAAGTACTGCTTTGAACTGAAACACCGTTTTTTACTGCCCCTATGCCTTTAACTTTCAATGACATTGTTTCAAAAACTCTATAGGTTTCCATTGCATGCTTTATTCAAATTGATCTTTAATTGTACAAAGTTTAAAGTTCTGAACTGAAGAAATCAAGGTCAAACCTCGATTTTCAATCATTTTTCCTCATTATCATCTTCCTCATAACTGAAATTCTTTTAGAAATATTCAAATTGAGGCTAATAATAAATTTCAATACTTTTAAGACTTTTATGCGGTAATGAAAGATCATTATTACCGAGTCCATACCTCAATTTTTCCAGGACGACTCGTCCGAAGAGGAGGACCGCCCCCATCTACTTGCTCCAGCTCCTCAACGGATGCTTCCAGTGGCGCGCGAACCGGTAGGAATTAAAAAAAGAATAGCACCTTTTTCAGTCCATAACAGAAGCCTCAAGTCTTTCCAAACTGTTGGAGAAGCTTCAAAAAATTTCCCAATCAACCTTTTTTATATCTATCACCTTTCAGGACTCGCAAGAAGAGGAAGAAATGGGACCAGTCAGAGCTGCTCCAGCTCCTCGCGTCTTCGACCAAGGTCAACCATGAGAGCATTAAAGTTACCCGTTGATTCACCACTCCAGCCACTCTCGCCACTCCTTTCCCCAACGGTTCTATTTTTTTTTCTTTTTTTCATCGCAATAAACTTTTTCAACATACAACTATCGCATTCAAGGAATCACAAAAATCACCTATTTTTTAGTTTTTTGAAATAACCGGTTGGTTCTGAAACGAGCTCCTTGGGAAAAAAAATTGAATTAAATCACAGAAAAAAAATAAAACCTTATTCGGCTTGTTTCCACCTACCAAGCCTTTGAAAAATTAGACAGCTTCTCAAAATTTCTGAAACCAGGTTTATTATCTTTTTCCTGAATGGAACTTGAGGCCGGAAGATGAATTTTTTAGTGTCTTCAAGTCCTATCGATATAATGAGCTTCATAATTGAAAAAACTTGTAAAACACAAAAAGTGACAATTCTCCAGCTTACATCCCTTCGCCACTTCGAACACGGCATCAAGTCACTACTCGGACATTGGTAACGCGAAACGGACGTGCTCCGGACGTTTCTGGGCGATTCTAGGGATCCCTTAAGAGTTCTGAGGCTACTAAAGTGGTCACTAGAAATGCCCCGACACGTCCGATTCGCGTCCCGTTCGCGTTACCAAGGTCTGAGTAGTTTTCGTTAAATCGCCAACCGCTACTCCCTGACGTCACTATATGACATCATTCGTAACACAAGAAATAAGCATAATCAAAATATTTGGCTATCAATTTATTTTTTTACGTGAAAAAAATTGAAGAATGAGAAGAGCTGAATTGCGCCTTTGCATAAAAAAACTGCGCCCGGATTGCATTTGTCAACTTTTTTTGACTTTTTGTGGATAAAGATTTTTATAATAATTTTATACATTATTATTCTATATTTATATTCTATATTCTATATTTTTTTCCTATATTAAATTTTTAAATGAGAGTTTCATTAATTTCATGAAATGCCGATAGGTTTCTTAAGCCCATTTTATCATTGTTTATGAAATTTTTCGAATAATCGACTACGATGGCGGAATTAAAAAACTTTTTTACGATGTATGAATAAGCATGAACACTTTGAATGAACATGGTAATTTATTATACTGAGTTGGTTTTTTTGGAGTTTTTTTGAATTTGGTGAAAGATTTTGGCACAGTGTATGTTTGGAAACTGCGGACAGTTGGTTAGATCGGGAAAGTTTTTTTCTAGTAAGTTCATACCTTTTGAAATATTCTCAGATGAATTTAGAGCAAAATTGTAATCGCTATTTATAATTTTTGATAAGAAAAGATGAATCATGAACACCGCTAACATAACAGAAACTGTCGAAAATGTTTGCAATGAAATAAAATTTCAAGTCAGTTTCAATGAATATTTTTTCGAAAATTGTTTGAAAGTATATTTTTGAAAGGGATGAAGAATTGAAAAATGTTCGAAGCTTGAATATATTTCTCATGACTCAACAAAGGACACCCTTTTAAAGCCATTATGATTGCTTGAAATTTTTGAAAGTTTGTCATATTTTTCACACGTTTTCCATTCCTTCCTTTTGATGCTTCCATAAGTTTTTTTCCAAGATCAAACCCGTTATTTTTCCGATTTCGCATTTCCTCAGGATCTTCCGGTTATCGTTCCCGAGTTCCAAGAAACTGAAGAAAGATAAATTTACTTTTGAAAATAATATTATTTTTCTTATTAAAAACCCCATTTTTTTGGAAAATCCTGATGGCTTTTTAATCTTCATTTCACGATATCTCCAAGACTCTATTTTTTCTTAATCAGTTTATAAAAATATAATGAACAACAAGTACAGAAGAAACATAGAAAAAAAAAATGAGAAAAATCAACAACTTTCAGAGATCACTTAAGGGGAAACTTGAAAGAATGAATGAAGCCCGCAAATTGACGGAAATTGACGTATATTGGAAAAAGAACAATTGGAAGAGGTCACTCAAGGGAAATTTTGAAAAAAGTTTAAACAACAACCTTTGAACCCGCTAAAAAGATAAAAATGAGAAATTCCGAGTGTTCACTTAAGGGAAACGATCTGGAGGTGACTCTTCGGGATTTGGTAGAGTCAAGTGGCAACTTAAGGGGCCTATAATCTTTTCACTGCTTTCCGCGGTAGTAGACGCGCATCGGATCATGGCTGATTAAGAGAGGTCTGGAGAACCGACGGAGAGGAGCTGGAGCAGCTCGCACAGGCCTCGCCTCCTCTTCCTCCTCTTGCGCGCCAGAGTCCTGAATGGTGATAACGATGATAAAGGTTGACGGACCAATAGAAAGATCAAAGCTCTCTAGCAATTCTGTGAGGCTTGGAGCTTCTGGTCTGGTCTTGAGAAGGTGCTATTCTTGAATTCCTACCGATCCACCAGAGATCGACTCTCTTTCCACTTCTGCTTCCTCCTCGTCGTCCTCGACATCCTCGTCCTGGTCCTGACGGCGTGGAGGGGTCCGGTAGCGCCAGCGGAGTGGATCATGGGCCATCAGGACCATTCGACGTGGAGCTGGATCAGCTTCAGGAGCTGGATGTGGTCGACGGCGGCTCTCCTTCTCAGAAGTTTCGTCCTGGGAAAATGGTGGTTGAAATGGACTTGATAATGAAGAGCTTACATTACCGCGCAAGTCTAGAAAGTATTGAGCTTTGAGCCAAATTTTTTGGCTCGACTATTTGAAAATTCATTTCTTTTACCCGCATAGTGTGGAAAATTAGTTATAGACGATTCACGGCTAGCTTGGGACGCAAAAAGGCGTGGCCTGTCTGCACTCTCCACCAACCAGGGCACTGTCTCGTCTCTTTTCGTGGCAGGACCCTTTTCTCGATGGCTCAAGCCAGCCGTGAATCAGCTATAAAATTCAAACTACGACCCTGATTTTGAGCTTCAAATTGAGCATAGAACTTGAAATTCACAAAAGTTCCCATGTGTCGAGCCTTTTTTGATCAAAAACCCATACTGAACCGTGAAAGCTGCTTGATTAAACTTTTGAACTCAAAAAAGCGACGAATATCCGCGAAAAGTGATGACTTGACCCTTCCTCAGGCATGTCGTTATCTTGAAAGGAGTCGAGTTTCGCGGCTGATGAGGTGCGATTTTTTCCGAGCAGAACTGCGAGGAGACCTTGCCAACCATATAAACTTTTCTTTCGCTATTTCAAAATATCTGCGAAATCGGAAAAATAACGGGCTTAGAAAAACTTATGGAAGCATCAAAAGGAAAGAATGGAAAACGTGTGAAAAATATGACAAACTTTTAGATATTTTAAGGAATCATAATGGCTTTAAAAGGGTGTCCTTTGTTGATTCATGAGAAATAAATTCGAGCTTCGAACATTTTTTCTTTCTTCATCCCTTTCTAAAAACTCTCAAACAATATCCGAAAAATATTCATCGAAACTGACTTAAAATTTTTATTTCATTGCAAAGCATTTTTCGATAGTTTCTGTTATGTTAGCGGTGTTCATGATTCATATTTTTCTTATCAAAAAAATTATAAATAGCGATCAAAAATTTTTGCTCTAAATTCATCTGAGAATATTTCAAATGGTATAGTCTGTTCAGATTTCAAAAGTCAAGCCCTCGCTGAAGCTCCGCCCCTAATGGCGCGATAAACCAATCAGAAAGCGAGCCATCCACAGAGCGCTGTCGAACGACGTCATTCTACTTGACATTCAAAATCTGAACAGACTATATGAACTTATTAGAAAAACTTTCCCGATCTAACCAACTGTCCGCAGTTTCCAAACCTACACTATACCAAAATCTTTCACCAAATTCAAAATGGCTCCAAAAAGACCAACTAATATCCCTGACCCTCAAAAATCTCCATTACCAGTGCCTCTGGCAAGTTTCTCGCTTCAAAATGAGTCGTAATGATGCCTGTCTGCGGGAAAAGACCCAAGTGTCGAAAAAAGGCGGAGCTTCGGCCCGAGTCCCCAACTGTTCATTCTGTTCCAAGTTGGCTCTGCCGAGTCGTATTTCTTTTTTCAAATGTTTCTCGGAATGTTTCGATATTTACTTCAATTTTCTTCTAGAGCATTATTTTAGATGATAAAATATTGATAGAACAGTCTTTTCTAGTCTTTCAAGACTTCTGAAATACCACCTTATTTTCTTTTCCATGAATAGTTCAATCAAATCATTTATTTTGTTGTTTTAGTCTGATGTAATCGACTAGGCGGTGAACAAGAACTTTAAAAGCTATAACGAACAACCGCCTTTGACGAGCTAGAAGTCCAAACGTGTAGTCGAAAGAGTTGAAAGCATGGTCTTACGGTCCTTCGCCTCGTCCTTCTGCGCGTAGTCCATCCAGTTGCGCCTTGACGAGCTCAGAATGTAGCGGATGTTGTGCTGAAGCCCGGAGACCGTGCTCCAGATGCCTCAGAATGAGAGCGACCACTTCTAGTCAAGATTTGAAACATTTGTAAAGGTTCCGAAATTATTACTTCTCTTCATAAATAGGGACCGCAGGCCATTTCTTCAGAAAGATCCAAAAAATGTGTTTTTTACACTGTTCGATAAAGGAGACTGTCAGTTTTCATAATCCGTTTAGTTTTTGAAAAAAGGTCCACTAAGAAGAAAGTTATGGCCAAAAAACGAGCGCTGCGTTCAACTGGAGGCGAAATTTCACTGTTTACCCTCTATCTTTTAATTCATTTTGCGCATTTCTGGACCGTTTTTCAATCGGTTTTTTGTTGTTAAACTTAGAATAGACTGTGCTGAACATAATTGTTAATTTATTTCACAACTTCCACAAAAAGTAAATTAAAAAATTGAAATGAACCTTCCAAAAATCTTGAAAATTTTTTATTTCAAAGCTTACTTTTTCTAAACTTTTCTAAAAGTAGTTTAAAACAAATACATAAACCAGAAAACAAAACTAACTTCAACGTATTTCAGAAAATCATAAAAAACCGATGATTTGAATTAAGATTTTCGAAAACTTTGATGTTAAAACGCGCCAAGCAGCAGAATGACGCAATCCTACACCCAAACGCGCAAAATTTATATCGAAAAAAGGGGAAAATTGCCTATAGGTCATTCCGCACCAGCCTCTCACAATTTCCAAGTTATTTGGAGCTACAGTAGCCCTTTCGGCGCTTCGCTTCGATGCTTTCGGTGTGCCCCTTGCGTGCGCCTTTAATAAAACTCATTATTTTTTCGAACTTTGGAATTTTTCTTATTCTACAAAAAACTTGTAACATAAAAATTTTATGTCAAACAAACACAAACATTTTATGCAAAAAAAGCTCGAACGGTCGGTTTTCATAATAACAATCAAAAAAAGTAGTAATTCAATCTTTTTTTGATCTTTTTTTACAAATCCAGCACGTATATTCGAACAAATCATTCTTTTTCGGGGGCGCAGCCAGAAATCTCTTATTTTTTTAATCTTAAATGTGACAGGTAAAAAAACTTTTTAAGGACATTTTGAAACGTGATCCGTGGATATTATTGCTGGAAATATTTTTTGAAGCAAAAAGTGAATTTTTTCTTTTTGAACTACTTTCCGACCAAATTTTTTTTAAATGCTTTCATTCGATGTTTTTACTAGATTCATAACAAAAAAAACATAGGCATGAAAATTTTTCTCAAACCGACTCTAAGTTTCGAAAATTTTTGTAAGCTTCGATTTTCTCGAGGCGCAGCCAACTTTTTTTGATTTTTCGTCACAAAAAAGAGATACCACCGCTGTGTGACATATCCAAAAAGCAAACGTGATCCGTGGATAGTTTTTGAGAAATCGTCGTTTTTGTGATTTTGGCCTTGGAAATCCGTCCCAACAACTCACAAAAAGGAAATAGAAGCTGTCTCCGTTATTCTCACAAAAACAACGGGTACAATAAAAAAATTTTTTGATTCCGATGAAACTTCATCCAGTGTGATAGCCAATCATCAGAAATGCGGACCCAACTTTTTGAGGGGGAAGAACTTACCCCTCCCCCCTTATTACTTTAGCCGGGTTACGGTAGGTAGGTGGGCACCTGCGTATCTCAGTATTGAAGAGTTTAACAGACAAATGATATATCAATCGATAGGTAATCCAGTTTTAAGAACTTTTGCAGTACATATCATCTTGGGTTACGGTGGGAAAATTTTGAGTTACGGTACTTTTTGTGTCTGCCGAGTCAGTTTTTCGACCACCATGAGCTTGAGCCGGGAGATCCATTCTTCCTAACTTCTCAAAAGACACCTTATGAGAAGCTGTACAAGCTGATACCAGTTTGAAAAAATCCTAGGTGAACCATCATTTCGAAAAATCGTCCCGAAGGCGCGCAATCGTGGTCTTGCGGCGGCCAAATGGGTGAAGTCCATGATGCCTGACGGCTCATTCTTCACAGATCCATTCTGAACTTTGTTTCCATTTCACTCATAGATATCTATTATTGATTTTTATTGCAATTTGAGATGTTTTCGGGTTGATCATCATCTCGAAATTTCATTTTGAGCCCAAAATCTGGCCTGAAAATGGCCTGCTCGCCTTTTTACACGGGTTCCCTGTCCCCAGTTGAGAGAGTTCTCAACTTTTTTCTTTTTGAAACATGAATTAAAGTGTTTGAACTAAAGTTTGATGACGATCATTGCAATGTAACGGTAGGATTCTGATTGTATCGAAGCCTTTCTCAACCGTTTATTTTTCTACTTTTCCAGCTAATAACGTGAAAATGAGCGCACCGAACCCGAGAAGATTCGAACAGATGTACGAAGATTTCCGCAACCCCAATAGGCAGCGGGTCAGTTTTTCGAAAGTTAAATCATCTTCAAGTCCCAATTTTCAGTTGGAGCAGGAGAACCAACGTGTTCAGCTGCCCAACCACGCGGCAGGACACGGAAATGTAAATAATTCCCTTGAAGTTTCTTATATTTTCCCCATTTTTCTAGAGACGTCAAGAAATCCCGGCCGTCGCAATCGAGATGGGCTCGGATTTGGAGATGAACGGGCCCAGGCAACTGCCTGCCCCACTGCCCTTGAGAAATATTCTCAACATGAGATTTGTTAGTTTCATTCTTTTTTCTCGAGAAAACTTGACTTTTCGCTTTAAAATATTCATTTTAATGAGAAAGACAACATTATTTTGATTCAGCATGACATAAAAAATCGTAAATCTCCTGAAATTCTATGTTACAGGCGCAGTTGCCCGACAATCGACTGCGAGGAATAGAGGAGGTTCGTATTCTCTTACCAAAACTGTCAAATATTATTCGTAACTTTGATCTATTTTGATAGTTTAAAAATATCCTTTCTACAATTTAGAATAAATTGATGAATTTTTTGTCTATGATTTTATGAAAACTCCATTTATCTCCATAGAATGTTTCTTAACTTTCCTTTCAAAGAATTTCAAAAACTCAATAGCTGAGTCCAAGCCACCATTTTCCAGGACGAATCGTCCGAAGAGGAAGATCGCCTTCCTCAACGTGCTCCAGCTGCTGGAGCAGAGCCAGCTCCTCGGCGGATGCTGCTGATAGCCCACGACCCGTTCCGCTGGCGTCGGCGGGTACCGCCACAGGGTCAGGGCGAAGACGAGGAAGAAGAAGAAGTCGCGAGAGCTCCGATCCCGGATGAATCGGTAGGAGCACCTTTTCAGTCTACAACAGAAGCCTCAAGCTTTTCCAAAACTATAGGAGAAGCTTCAAAAACTCTCCCAATCAACCTTTATCATCTTTCAGGACTCGCAAGAGGAAGAGATGGAGCCCGTCCGAGCAGCTCCTCAGGCCGTCTACCGCGGGCGGCGCTGAGGGCTCTGAAGGGGTCCCCTTGAGTCACCACTCTCCCGCTTCTTGCCCCAATAGCCCCATTTTTTTTTCTTATTCTCATTGCAATAAACTATTTATACATACAACTGTCACATTCAAGGAATCACAAAAATCAATTTCAGTTTATTCAGTCTTCAAAGTGAGATGAAGAAAATGCTGAGTACACAGAATTTATTCCAACGATATTTGAAAATCTTGATGGACGTACGAACTTGTGAAATCAAAAAGTCATATTTAATCAGTTTATGATATCTGCTTGATACAGATATTGAACGGGAAACTTTTGTCCAAAATCATTTCGAAACTATTTTCTCCAGACCTGCATTTTTTGAACTCAAGATCTCACTTTCTTTTCTACTAGAAAATTGATCTTCTCAATATTTTAACGCAAATTTTAAGTTCATTTTTCTTTCAATGGTTTAAATCTCCACCCAAAAAAACTAGTAAAAAAATTTTTTTCCAAATTCTTTTCGAAACTCACATTTCGGACAACTTTCCGAGGTTCAAAAAGCACTTTTTTGAATATCCACAAAGTTAATCCTTTTTTTGGTTTTTAAATCGATTTTCTATACATCTATAACTGATTCACGGCTGGCTTGAGCCATCAAAAAAAGGGTCCTGACACGAAAATGCACGAGAGAGCGCCTGGATCGTGGAGAGCGCAGGCAAGACACGCCTCCCCCAAGCTAACCGTGAATCAGCTATACTTCACAGAAAGAACTAAAGGCCGCTCGGAATTTGACGCCTTTTACCCGCCGTCGGAAGAATAGATTCAGACGGTGTACTTCTGGCCGAAGAAGGAGAAGATTCAGAACTAGCTCGTCGAAGACGAACGATGTCAGACACCCAAGTCGATTATGAACGATCTGGAAATGCTCTTCGAAGACGCCGAGGAGCTGGCTCTAAAGGGAAAAGCGTCCATTTCTCGTGGATTAATCACACCTCCGCCAGGAACCGCCGGGTCGACGTTTGAATTCTTCTCTCCTATAGTTTGGAATGTCTTGAGGCTTCTATTTTTTCCAGCTCCTCGCCGGATGCTGCTGATAGCCCACGACCCGTTCCGCTGGCGTCGGCGGGTACCGCCACAGGGTCAGGGCGAAGACGAAGAAGTCGAAGATGACGAGGAAGAAGAAGAAGTCGCGAGAGCTCCGGTCCCGGATGAATCGGTAGGAGCACCTTTTCAGTCCATAACAGAAGCCTCAAGCCTTTCCAAACTATAGGAGAAGCTTCAAAAACTCTCCCAATCAACCTTTATCATCTTTCAGGACTCGCAAGAGGAAGAGATGGAACCCGTCCGAGCAGCTCCTCGTGCCGTCTACCTCGGTCAGCACTGAGAGCTCTGAAGTGACCCCTTTCCCCGAAAATTCTATTTTTTATCATTTTTCTGATTGCAGTAAATTTTTTCTACATACAACGGCCTTTTTCTAGAACAACACAAAAAATCAGCTACTTGTTAATTTTTAAAGATAACCAGTCGGTTCTGGATCAAGGGAAGTTCTTGAAAAATTGAATTTCCATTATTTTCGGCTTGTTCTCTCACTAAATTCTTGGGAAATGACAGCTGCTCAAAATTTCTGAAAAATTTAAAAAAAAGTTCATTTTTCTGTTTTTAGATGGAACTTTTTTGAATTCTTATCAAGCCGATATATCGAGTTAAATGTTTAAAAAGCTTATAAATCAAAAAAAGTGACAACTCCCCGGCTGACTAAAATGGAGAGTTCCAGGATCTTCATCTGGCACATCAAGAAACGTCCTGACCAATTTTTAGAAAATTCCCAACCGTATACTAAAATGACCATCCTTTTTAGAAGACTTTTGAGCGTCAAATTTATCGATCTTAAAAAATTTACGGCGATTTTAAAGCGCGAATTTGAATTTTCCGTTGCCCAAATATAATCCGTCCGGCGCGACTTTATCCGTTTTCGAGTGTCTGCGTCTCTCTGTTCCCTCACCGGACAGGCCAGAGAAATATGGAAACAGCGCGTAAACATGAGAGGGTCGTCGAGAGATAAGGAGGGCGCAGAGAAGTCTCGCTTTGTCGCGAAAAACGGACCATAACTTCAAAATTAGAGGTTCGCTCATAAAAGTCACCGTAAATAACTACATATCGTGATCTATCGTCGTAGGACCCCCTTTTTTAAAAAGCACCCGCATTTTTAATTTTGCCCATTTCGTGACATTATTTTTGCGTCTCGAAATCCTCGAAATCACTTTAGACACGGTTTAAAGTTACTACTTTTCGAACCTAGCAAAATGATACATAATGTTCTGGAAACAGTAAAGATAGGAAAGAATGAACACATTTTTTTTCAGATTCGTAATGAACCGTTGGTACAAGTACAGTACTTGAAGTACTTCAAGTTTCGATTTGAGAATTGAAATTACTGTCACAGTTTCTTAACATAGTGTTTAAGCTCTTAGGCTGGTTACTGTAAGGCTCCGCCCCTCACTGGGTTACGGTAGGACTTTAGTGAAAAATTCTAATTTTTTTCCTAGTTGATGGATCGACTCCAAACTTTCTTTAAAACACAGAAAACGGTATTTTGAAGATTTTTAGTAAAAAACTAGGAGCAAAACTGTTTTGAGCATGGAAAAAATTTGATTTTCATCGAAAATTGTCGGTTTTTTCCTTTTTTGGGCTTTTTGGGACCCAAATGTAGTGAAATTTTATTTCATAAATCCAGGCCTTTCGAAAAAAAAAGATTTATAGTTTCGGACAGGTTTCTCATTTTTCACCTTTCGTATTTTATTCGTGTTCACCCACCTCTTGATGAAATTTCCCTCATTTTTCAAAAAAACTCCCTTTTTTCACATTCTAACAAGTTTTTATTAAAAACTTTATTTTTATGAAACACGAACCGCCCGTCGCCGTCTAGCCGGCGCAAAGACACACATTTGCTGTTTAAGGCAAAATTGTCGATTTTTTGAACAGCATTCATTTTTCGGCCCGCACGTGGGCTGTCCATTGGAGCACAGGGATTCCTGGAAAAAAAATTGAGGTGAAAATATTTAAAATAATTATGATCAGAGTGGAAATCAGGAATTTTTCAAAACCTAATAAAAACAAATAACGTCATAATCGTAAAAATAAATCAGATTACTCTTTATTTCAGAAAAATTGTCACGATAAGCTGCCTTATCACATCAGGAAAGGAAAGAATACAGACCACGAGAGAAAAAATTAAACTTTAACTAGAAAATGCAATATTGATCGATGGGAATGGAATAAGAAACGCATTTTTCTGGGAACTTTTAGTGGCCACTATAGAAGCTCGCCAAGGAATACATGGAGAGGACACTAAAGTGGCCACTTCAGTAGTTTTTCATCCAGTATTCCTTCCAGTAACTCTGATAATTTTAAAACAAACAGATTGGACCAGTTATGTTGATCCATTGACCCCTAAAGTGGCCACTATAATTTTTAGTGGTCCAGTAGCAGCATTTAGACCTCTATAGTGGCCACTAACTTTTATCCCTCGAGTGGCCACTAATTTGACTACTATAGTGGCTACTAAACATTTTCCCGGTTAATGGATAAATAAATAAATGGCACAGCGTTCTAAAGCGGGGTTCACACGCGCTGCTGTAAAAAGCGTGCGGACGCTGCATAAAGTGGGCGGGATTTATTTATCGATTTTTTCAAATTAATATAGATGTCTAGTTTTTTCATATTTTTTATGTTTGATCGTTTTCATGTTTCTTACGTGTTTTCTCCGCTTTTCCACACAATTTTGTTAGAATTTCTGTGAAAACCTCTCTGGGAAAATGTTTATTGGCCACTATAGGGTTTTGACGTTTTAGTGGCCACTATAGTAGTCAAATTAGTGATCACTTGAGGGGTTAAAATTAATGGCCACTAGAGAGGTCTAAATGCTACAACTAGACCACTCTAAATGCTACAACTAGAAAAAAAATTAACGGAATTCACTGCTATTAAAGGATCACGCGCGGAAAAACATCGACACGAACAGATACTGTAGCCTTTGGGCGGAGCGAGCTGCTTGACATTTAAAATCTTAACAGACTATATTTCCATTCTCTACCTTGAGAAGACAAAAACGCTTCAAGAAACTGGAAATTCAGGGCTAAATTCACTTTTCTTGATATTTTAAAAGTTCTCCGTGTTCATTCGACTGAATGATTTCACCTAATAAATTACAGGAACAACTTGAAAAAAGGTGTAAATCCTTTCTGACATCAGGAAAAAGAAAATCTGAATTTTCAGCCTTTCTATTTCCACAAAATTCTTCAAAATGAGATAAAATCCATCCTGACAATGAAAAATAAGAAAAAAAACCAACCTGATTCGAGGACACTATCGAAAAAGCCATAATCAGCATCAACAAGGCGAAAAACTTCATCTGAAACCTTCATTTCCAAGTATTTTCATTGTAATATCTTAATTCAAATTTTCAAGCGACCAAAATTAAACTTCTATCAACATATTTATGGTTCAACACTAGGCAAAAATATTATTACGAGAAAAAAAGCTCGATATTATGAGAAGGAGAAAAATGAACTGTGAACTGGAATATTTGCGGAAGGGGAGGTTCTTAAAAATGAGATTAAGGGGCAAAATAAAGAGAAAATTAACTTTTTTTTTGTGATTATTTTTCAAATATGCACAAAATATCAAATACCAACCAACCAAAACGAAGATATAGGGGGAGAAATGCAGAAATTTTTGGATTTATGAGATAAAAAAAGTGAGGATAGGGGGAGTACAGTGAAGCGATTGCACTGGGAAAAATTGAAGAGAAAATTTTGAAAAAAATGACCGTTTCAAGTCTATTTTTGACGTAGAATTCGAATATGATGTTTAAAAAAATATTGAATAATCAAGAAAAAAACTCATTATTAAACTTTTTTCTCGAAAAATCGCGTCTTTTCGAAGCAAAAAAGCCAATTTTTCACTCTTCAAACGATTTTCTAACTTTTCCCCCCATTTGTAACCAAAACTCCGCCCCAATTTCCTTTTCCAGTGCATTCAAATCAACAAATTGCCAATTCTGAAACAGAAAATTCCCGTTACGACAGAAAAAAGCCCATGAAAATGAGAAAAAAGACCGGAAAAACAACACTTCGGGGGTGGGACAGATCACATCATGACGAGAAAAATAAACAGGTTTTTTTTTCATTTTCGAATATTTGGTTGATATTTCTTTCTGGTATAAACAATTTTGTGCAAACACGATTTTCATCGGGATCATCACCTTTTTTCGGAAAAAAGGCCATTTGTATCATTTTTTAAAGGCGCAGGGGATCATTTTTTAAAGCCCCCTGCGCCTTTAAATAAAATTTTGAGCTTGTCAATCAATTTTTCGGGAAACTTGAACTTTAAAGTCACTCAAAAAATCGATACAAATGGCCTTTCGCTATTTACAAGAGAAATAGTCGGTTCATGACTTTTCTTGGAAAAAAAATCGAATTTGTCGTGGTTTTTAAAATTTAACGGCTAACTTCCTTTATTTCACGATTTTCATATCCTCTTTCCACTTTAAAAATTCAAAATTTGAAAAACGCTCAAAAAAACTTTTTAAGGCGCATAGGCCCCCTTCAAATCAAAATTCCGCCACGAAAAGATCCCATTTTCCAAAGAAAACGATGACAAAAAAACACAGACGAAAGCCTATACAAGATCTATGAGACGAGAACTTCAACTTTTTTTTTGTTTCTCAACAATTATTTTCTTTTCTTTGTACACCACCAGAAACTGAAGGGAACCCCTATTTTACACACACTATTTTCTTCTTTTTTACAGTAGGATGGCTAGAACTCTACACATACAGAACAAAAAATAATAACAAGCAATTTCAACAAGCAAAGTACAGATTAGGAAAGGAGGAACGAAGAAAAATCATAAATTATACAGAAAACATCGTCTTGGATTGCGGTCGTGGCTGAGGTTGTTTCTGAAAAAATTTTCAATTTTCTCTGTACTAAGAAAACTTTTAGTGGCCACAATAGGATTTTGACGTTTTAGTTGCCACTATAGTAATCGAATTAGTGGCCACTTAAGGGGTTAAAAATTAGTGGGAACTATAGAGGTCTAATACTAGAGCATAAAAAAATTTAGTGGCCACTTTAGGGGTCAATGGATCAACATAACTGGTCCAATGTGTTTGTTATAAAATTATCAGAGTTACTGGAAGGAATACTGGATGAAAGACTACTGAAGTGGCCACTAAATGGAGAACCTCTATAGAGGTCACTGAAACGGAAAATAGTGGCCACTATAGAGGTGGGTTTAGTGGCCACTTTAGTGTCCTCTCCAAATAGTCCTTGGCGAGCCTCTATAGTGGCCACTAGAAAATTTCCCAGAAAACTGAAAAAAAAAAACACGTTTTTTCTTCAAAATTAGCTCAAACTACTCAAAAAGATCATTTATGTTTTTGGTTCAGAATTTTCTGGAAAAAGTACCAGTTGAAGATCCTGAAAACCTCAATCTGCGAAACTTCCTAGTTTTTCAGACAGCGGTGTCTAAAACAAGCCATTCTTACACTTTTTGCCAATGTTTTTCGGGAACCGGGAATTTTTAAAGGTCCAGACTTTCAGGATCTTTTTATTTTATTTTTTTTTTCACTCTCTGACGCCTAATTCGAATTTACGGAATCACTTTGAACACGGCATAATAATCTTTAGAAGTTCGGTTTTTTTAAAACTCGAAAAAAACGAAAAACTCATGATTTTGGAGGAAAATTTCCCGTGTAACATCCGTTTCACGCAGTTTATAAGATAGAATATGAATTTTTTTGATTCGTTAATTCGGGGAAGTACGCCGGTATAATGAATATATGCTGTAATTGTAAGCCTTTGAATATTACATATAATGATTATATTTAAATTACATAGTGTACAATTTTTGTTTTCTTTTAACACACATTCTCTCAAAAAATCCAACGAAAAATTTTGGTACAAATATTTCAAATTTGTTCCTGAGGGCATATATGTTAAGCAGCCTCCAAAATATTTTGAACCAGGTTTCATCAAGCTCCGCCCACTTTCAGGCTTACAACGTAAAAACCAAACTCTTTTGCTAGTGAAGTAAATCGGTCAAAACTAATTTTGATACAAAATACGTTTTTAGTATTAGAACCGACCCGTAAAAATTATCTTCCAGATGAAAAAATTAAAGTTTTTTTGTAAAATGGCGATTTTTGAAGTCTTTGAGTTTACCTCCATCAGTAAATCGGTCAAAACGAATTTTTGATACAAAAATACGTTCCTCTATGACCATTTTTTTAGTATTGGAAGACGCGAAAAAAATTATTTACCAGAGGAAAAAAATTGAAGTTTTTTTGAAAAATGACGATTTTTGCAGTGTTTGGGCCACAATTAGTACCCCAACCCCCCTTAATTTCAAGGACTAATCTGGCAGCTCTTCGGAAAATCCCCATTCGCATTTATCATCAGCTCACCGTTTCAGAGCTCGAGAGCATGAACTCTGAGTTGTCCGCCGACGGCGAGGACCAGCGCAGCGTTGCCGTGTCGTCCGGCCCAGTTCTCCGAGTAGGCGATTCGTGGGAAGTGGGCCACGTGTTCGATAGGCCTTGGCGATGGCACGGCGCAGAGGACGTCCCCACTGACCAGAGACCATCCTCGGGTTGTTCCGTCACTTCCAACTGAAACTCAGACGGATAGTTTCGAACTTTTCAGAGCGAATAGTAATTATATTTAATTTTTATCCTGAAAAGCTACAAGGAAAAACTCTTAGAGGCCACTACTCGGGCAAAGTCGGAATGATGGATGATGGCCGCTAAAAGGGAGAGGCTCGAAAAAGGCCGCAGAAAACCAGAAAAAAGGCAGCAAAGAGACTCCCTTTATCGAGCCTTCCATTTTTCTGGGATTTTAAAGGCGCGAGAACTGGTGGGAAAAGGGAGAAGCATCAAAAATGGTGCATAAGAGCTGAGAAAATGGAGCAAAAAGGCAGCAAAAAGAGAGCTTTCATCATCTTAAAAGGAACATTTCTATAGTCCTTTATGGACTCTCGGAGGGTCCTTCCGACTTTGCATATGTTTAGAGGTTCCTGAAGGACTATTTGGAGAGGACACTAGATCCTTATCAAGTACCACCTCTACCCGGTGATGAAGAGGTGGTATGAAAAAAACACCAGCGAAATTGCAAACGGCGACTTTTCCGATTTTTTCATATCGCTAGGGAACTTTCCGACGGCCACCTTTCCGACGAATCCCTTTCCGACTTTTTTTCTCGATAAAATCTTCCTATATAAATTAGGTAGTTGGTTCATGATTAAAACACAAAGAAATAGGAAAAAAAAATATTTATAGATGTTTTATAAACTGAAAAATATAAAGGAAAAAAGTCGGAAAGGGATCCGTCGGAAAGGTGGCCGTCGGAAAGTTCGCTAGCGATATGAAAAAATCGAAAAAGTCGCCGTTTGAATTTTCGCTGGTGTTTTTTTCATACCACCGATGAAGAGGCAACGCCATTCATAGCGGCTAACGGTACACCGGTCACGCAGTTCGGCTTGCTTCTGCTAACAGAATGGGCGGTCTTTTTTAGCGCTGGCAAGGCAAAAAGGATAATCAGACCACAATTATGCTATAACACGTTCAACACCATGAATGGAACTTTTTTTTTCGCAAGAATACCAGTCAACCAGGACAACACTGGATGACCGATTGCATAAGACCGGACCTCCTGGAAAACGTGTGGTCCACGCTTCGACCAATAAAAGGCAATAAAAAGTCGAAAGCGAAGATGGACCATCTAAGTATCTAAGTAAGTAAGTACTAGATTGGCCACTAAAACAATCTCTATAGTGGCCACTTCAGTATTTTAGACTAAAACCACCTCTCGCAAGCTAATTCTGATAATTTCAAAAGAAGCCGATTGAACCCCTTATGGTTCACTTATGGTAGTACCAATTAGATCTCTATAGTGGCCACTCACTTTTAACCCCTTAGGTTAATCCCAGCCTATCAGGTCTTTAAAGCAAAAAACGAAAAGCAAAACTTGTCGAACCCTAACTTGCGTTGGTCTACCAATTACTAAATGAAAAGCTACTGTAGTGGCCACTAAAAAGAGAACAGCTAAAGTGGTCACTATAGAGATGGTTTCAGTGGCCAATTTTTTTTTGGTTATTCACCTTTTCTTGAAGATTATTTCTTACCTTTAATTATTTTTTTCTTTCAAAACTCATCATCAAAAAAGAGCGTGAACGACATTTGTTTCGCTTCAAGACTTTTTTTTCAAACTTTAGCCATCTATTTGTAGTTTTTTGTAGCCAAAAAGCTTTTGTAGCCAATAAGGGTACAATCAAGGTGGTCCCTATAGGGGTTTAGGGTTAGACTCCTTAGCCCCTTGAGCTTAAGTGGTCCCTACAGGGGTCAGGCGTCGAAAAGTTGGTCCCTATAGGGGTAAGGGGGCTAAAAAAGGGTCCTTATAGGGGTGAAAGCAAGGTGGTCCATATAAGTGTTTAGGGTCTGATCCAATAGCCCCTAAAGCTTGAGTGGTCCCTATAGGGGTCCTTCATTCAAAAAACGCCTATTTATCCCGTTTTTCCCATGGAAACGCTTCTTCGCTTAGAGTTCATAACAATTATCGACTAGCATGTCCCCTATAGGGATCACTTTTGCACGCTTTAGTGACTGGTAAAATGGTCCCTAGAGAGGTCCCTCCAAATGGCCACTATAGGGATCACTCTGGCGATCCTAAGCAACTCCAATTTTTTCCTTTCTTCAAAACCCACCAGCAAAGACAAGTCGCTCATTGGCATCTACAAAGCAGGGAAGTCGATAATGAGTGTTTTGATGATCCTTGAACTGCATCAATGGCCGATTCGGATACCGGAAATCCCAGAGGCGGAGCTTAAATATTCTTTTTTTCTAGGATTTTTTCTCAAAACTACCTGCCCGGCAAAGTTTTCAGTGATCACACACTCGGGATGACTGTTTTTCAGGATATGGATGAAACCAGAGTTGTAGGACCCTGAAATGGTATAAAAAAGATAAATCTGTTTTTCATGAGATTTCAAGCTGTATCAAAAGCTAAGTGTTACAGAAAAATCTTCAAACCTTTCAGAGAACCAGTAATATGATGGCCATTCATTCGTAAATCCGCCCGAATCACTTCATCGCCTCGAAGACCCATCAACAGCAGGTTTCCGTCCTAAAACTCACCAACTCATTGAAGTGATCACTTCAGTGCTCTCTAGCTGTATTGGTATATTATATAGCTCAGACATTGGTAACGCGAAACGGACGTTTCTGGGCAATTCTAGGGATCACTTAAGAGCGCTGAGGCTACTAAAGTAGTCACTAGAAATGCCCCGAAACGTCCGATTCGCGTTACCAAGGTCCGAGTAGGGCACTCTGACATGGGGCGCCGAAAGACCACAACCCTTTCTCTGACCAACGTTATTTCGTCGTTTCTCGCAGCTAGAAAACGACGAAATAGTGTGTGCTAGAGAGAGAGTTGTGGCGATCTTTCGGCGCCCCATGTCAGAGTCTATGCACAGTACCGTCAGAAAAGATACGAAAAAACGGGGTTTTTTCGGTCAAAACTTTCTTCTAAGGAAGTCGATACTTCTGAAACTTTCTGGAGTTGTGCTGACTGTTATTTTTAACGCTCTGATGAAGTTTCAGTTCATAGAAAAAAAAAACGCAGTTTCAGAATCTTTCAAGAAGACTGATTTACTTACAAAAAAGTTGTGAGCGAAAACGCGTTTTTTCCTATCTTTTTCTCACGGTACTCTGTATAGATAAGAGATGGGTTTACGTTTTTAAAATTTAAATGTTCATGCAACTTCTATTTGGAAAATTCAGATTTTTTCCTAGTCCTTGGGTTTTTAAATTATGGTTTTTGAACTACTATTTCAAAACTTTACTTGATTTCGAAATATACGTTCATTATAGATTTATTTGTCCCAACTCTACTGGGATTTATTGAGAAGTTCGGTGTAATTTTTATTTTTTTAAAATTAATCTTGAGACATTTACTTACAGTCGTTTTTTTCCCGACTTAGAAGGTTTTATCAGAATATTGGCCAGGGAAATCAAGGAAAAAAAAATGTAGAAACAATAATTAATTGATAACAAAGGAGGGAGGAGGCGTGTTTGAATAATGAAAACCTCCAAAACCCCTTAGTAAAAATTCGAAATTTTTTTTTCATGATTCAAAAGATATTGAATTTCTGAACGATAATGACTGGAACAAGCTGTTAAAAATGACGAAAGAAGTATAATTTTCAAGAAAATCAATAGTCTAATCCCCGTGATATCAAACAGTCTTAAATTATCGAAAAACTTTCTGAAAAAATTGATGGTTTTCAAAATATTTATTTGCAAATAACATTTTTTTCATCGCAGTCTTTTTTCATATTTTCACGTCGAAACTGTGAAATCATTTTATAACGAATTATAATATTTTATCTTTGGGGACGTTTTTCAACCTTTGCTGAAGTGTGCACTTTAGGATTTCTTCACTACCAGATCAGAAAATTATTTCTGGCCAATTTTTCGAGTTGAGACGCTATAAAAGCTGGAAATATTGATTTTTTTTATCGCAATTTGCGTATTTCACGAACTTTAAAGCTTCATAACCTAAAAACGAGATATATTGCGGGAAAAATTATTCTTCTTTTAGAATCAGAAGTTCCTAACGTCCTAAAATAACCAAAAATCTATAAAAATACAAAAACATCTTCCTGAGAAATCTACAGAAAAGCTTCAGAAAAAAACCACCCTTCAGCAAAGTTTCATCATCGAAATCTGAACAAGGGGCTAAAAAAAATCAGCGAATTTCTGATTCACATATTTTTGTGGAAAAAAAAATCGAAATTTTTGAATTTAAAATTTTTAATTTTTTTCTTAATAAGTGATTTAAAATCCTCCTTCAGGTTAAAAAAATTAAAGCCTGCTTCAGATATTCATTAGAATACTAATTTATTTATTCCGGAACATTTTTTTAATGTACTTCAAAAGTCTTTATGTTTTAAAAAAATCTTAAGGCGTAACCCGTCACGGTCGGTTGAAGCTGAAAATTTTGAAATTTTTTTCATTTTTTTCCACCTGCGAAAACTGCTGCGAGATGACGTTCTTCTTGCGGCTGGAGATTACAAAACTTTTTCCCGTCAGGATATTCTCGATTCTCGTACTTTCCTCTCGTCCTGAAATCGAGGAACAAATAAAAATTTAAAAAAAATAAAATTTTTGGGTTTGATGAACTGTAGAAAATCGTTTTTTTAATGAGAATCCGAAGTTTAAAAAAATCCATCGTAACGAATTTATTAATTTCGTTGTATTACTTTTTTTGAATCGTTTATATCAAAAAGGAAAGATGAGAAAAATTACGAAAAATGAAAAAAAGGGCCAGAAAGAGTAAAAGAGATGAAAAGAGGTCCAAAAAAGACTGAAAAGACGACCGTATTTTATTGAAAAGAAAAACGATCGCATTTTATAAACGTCCGCACTTTAAAGAATGCCAATTCATCCATACGAACCGAACGAAACAGTCATGTTGGCTTCGCTCCAAGCCAGGCTCCAGATCGCCGACCGATTGTCGTTCCAGGCTCGGTTGTAGATGGGCGACGACAACGTCTCGAAGCTGTCCGGCGAGCTGAGTTCCGGGATCGGCTGCAGGTTCACCTTGAACTCGGAGCACACGTTGCCGTTCCAGCGCAGCCTTCAAATCAGGAATGTCATCAGGGAGGTCATTTAACTTTGTTGAGATTTTTCCCGTCGGTGTTGTGAAACTTTGAAACTTTTTTCATGTGTTACAGTCAATGTTTCCCGACTTGAAAGGCGAGGGAGGCGGGACGCGTAGCGTGTGCGTACGCGGTTCTTGGCACGAGTTCAATTCAACCGCCAGCCAAAGTTCAGAGAGCTTAATTATCGCTTTTTCACTCCTTTTTCTAAATTGTTTATTGATCATTTTCATGTGCGCATCAAAAAATAGTAGAAAATATAGAAAATTAGCGGTTTCTGAGCTTTTATAAATAGTCGGCGGCGATTGAATTGAACTGGCGCCAGGAAACATTGACTATAACTGTTTGAAACTGTTCCCCCATAACCCCATAGGGACCACTCTGAAATTCCTAAGAAGTTGCTCTAGTGACAATAGAAACTTCCTGTGTTCCCAGATCCAATTATTTCCCCTTTCTTCCATAAAGTTCCTATTAGGCTCAAAATGTGTGTTGATTATCCAATTTCCCCGTCATTGTTACGTTTCAAAGTTGCCATAAATAGAAATGATATGAGAATCGATATTAATCCGAAATCTGCTAATTTAATGAAAACAATTATAAATCCATTGAGATCTCTGTATAGTATAGCCGATCCACGGAAAACTTGGGACGCTGAGGGGACGTGGCGTGTCTGCGCTCTCCACCAACCAGGCACTCTCTCTCTTTTCTAACCGTGTCAGGACCCGTTTTTCGATGGCTCAAGCCTGCCTTGAATCAGCTATTCGTATTTCTTTGTATTATGACCAGTTTCCAAAAATTCCAGTTATTTTAAGTACAAAAATTCACGTTTTTTCTTCTAAAATTTTCCATTTTCGCCAAAAACCGCTCTCAAATCCCAATGTCCGTTAAAATAGCCAATTTGAGGCTTTGAGGTCTAATTTATCGAAAACCCGGAATTTTTGCAGGCTGAAACTTTCAGGATATTTTTCTGGCAGATCAAAGAGTGTTTCGGCCAATTTTCAAGAAATTCTTAACCACAAAGTCAAATTGCTTTCCTTGTTAGTTGGAAGCTCATTTTTATCGATTATCAGGTATCCAAACAAAAAATCGGAAAACGATGAAAATTCCGTTCAAAAAAGGCATGTTGGTAAAAGACGGTCGATTTTTTGAAGTTTTCAAAAGTTTTTCGGCTTTAACGGTTTGAAAGTTCCCCCCCCCCCCCCTTAACCCCTATAGGGACCCCTCTGAAATTCCTAAGAAGTTGCTCTAGTGACAAAAAGAAACTTTCTTTGTTCCCAGATCCAATTATTTTGCCCCTTTCTTCCATAAAGTTCCTATTAGGCTCAAAATTCGTGCTGATTCTCCAATTTCACCCGTCATTGTTACGTTTTAAAGTTGTTATGAATAGAAAATGATATAAGAATGGATGTTAGTTCAAAGTCCGATTAAACAAAAATAATTGTAACTTCCATTGATCCCCTGTTCATATAGCCGATCCACGGCTAACCTAGGAAGGGGCGTGGCCTGTCTGCGCTCTCCACCTATTAGACGCTGTCTCTTTTATTATCGTGTCAGGACCCTTTTGTTGATGGCTCAAGCCAGTCGTGAATCAGCTATATACGGATTTTGAGCTGAAGGAACTCAAAATTGAGCTTTCGGCCTATTACGTGCCACCAAAAGGTGACACAGTGTTCCAAAAGAGACGGCAGCAAGCCAAAAAAAAGGTCGTCGCGATGGGGCGAAAACGCGAGTTTTTTCTAACGCAACGCGGTGCGGCGCGTGTCACCCCCACAAAATTTCATTCACTTTTAATACGGGTTTTTCTCTTTTTCTTGCGTATTTTACCATTCTTTCGTATTTTTTTCACGTTGTATGTGTTCTTAAAACGTGTTTATCGCGTTTTCCAGAGATTTAAAGTGATTTTCGATTGTTCTCGTCACAGAAATTTGCATTAAAAGGACATTTTTGATGACAACTTATTTCGCATAAGATATTTCGTTTGTTTTTTTGTTTTAGAATTTTCAAATGGACTTTCTTAAAAGAAACGCTGTGAGATTTTTTTCTCAAAAATTTTTTCGAGGCAGTATTCGACGAATTTATTCTTGAAAATGTCATTTTTGGGTGACAACTTTATTCGTACAAGCTATTATGTATCTGTTTTTTTGTTTTTAAAACGTTCAAATGGTATTTCTTAAGAGAAGTGCTTTGAGCTTTTTTTCTCAATTTTTCCCTTTGGAAGTTCGATTTGACGAGTTTTCCTAAAAACGACATTTTTGGGAGATATTTTGTTTTGCAAAAACTTTTTCGTCTCTTTCTTCATTTAAATTTGTTCGTTATAATTATATATACAATAAAAAAATTTCTGAAAACTTGCGAGAACCTAGGAAAAAAACATCATTTAATGGTCTTTTTTTCCAACTACTTAATCCACACAACTTGACTCTCATTCCCGCGCCCCTATTGCAATAAACCATGCCGCTGTTGCAGTCAGCCACGCCTACTGACCACAGCTGCCGCTCGTTTGGGAACACTGTGGTGAACTTGGTCCGAGATTCAGGACTTCTGATAAGATTTACAATGATTATCTTAAGCCAATCAAAAATCCATTCCCAAAGCTTTCGCGACTTTTTTTTCGATCCGAACCTATCGATAGCCGTCACGTTCAAGAGACACGTGACGTCGGTGTCGATGGGGGCGACGGTCATGTCGACGAAAGTGTCGGTGAAATCCGTCTGCGTGAAGTCCTCCAGTTTCGATTGTTCGAATTCCAGCCCTGGGAATTTTTAACTTTATTCCTTTTTGCTGGGAAAGAATACCAAGGGTGTTCAAATCATCGATTTTTCCCTCGCCGCGGTCTTCCCTCCGTTCTTTTTCCATCATGTTCTTGCTGAAAAATCAAAAATCGTTTTTAAAATTCCAAAAGCAGTTTTCAGTTAGAATTCCTTTTTTTATTGCTCCGAGAATCCCTTTTTTTCAATTTTTCAACTAAAAAAACATAGAAATTTCCACCCAAAATCCTCAAAAAAACCCAGATATTTTTAAAAATTGTTCAACAAAAGATCCGAAAATTTCAATTCAACTCTCATTTTGAAAAGTTCAAATTCCATTGTTTCCAGGTCATAAAAAAGCCATTTTTTCCAATTTTTCAACACAATTTCTACAAAATTGCAAGCAAAAATACCATTAATTTCACTTTTTCGACCCTTCCTTCTACTTACTGTACATTCTGGCAACTAGGATTTTCTCCAACTCAATAATTTTAAACGAAACTTCACTTCAAAACATCAATTTCCAGTTATTTTCTATAAATTTCACTTAAAAACCAAAATTTCTATTTTTTTTATTCCTTTATCCTTTTCTAAAACTGCTTAGAAACCACTAGAAAAAAATTCTACTTTTACTCCAAAATCAATTTCGAGCCATTCCCTGTAACTGTAGCCGGGTTACGGTAGGCACCTGCGTATCCAATTATTGATGAGTTTTTTTCACTAGGCAAGTGATATATCAATCGATAGGTATTGCAATTTTAGGAACTTTTATAGTACATACCAACTTGGGTTACTGTGGAAATTTTTGGGATACGGTACTTTTTGTGTTTGCGGATTTGGTTTTTGGGCCAGCGGAGTACCGTAACCCGGCTACGGTAGCAGAAAATGGCTCAAAAAATCAGGTCCGCATTTTTGATGATTGGCTATCACACCGGATGAAGTTTTATCAAAATTAAAAAGTATTTTTTTCTTCTTGTATCTGTTTTTTTCTGAAAATTACAGAGAGTGCTTGATAATTATTTCCATGATTCAAGAGAGAATCTTGAAGAATTAATAAATGTGTAAATTTTTTTAAGAGAAATCCATTTTTTTCTCATAATAAACCTAGCGATTCTCGAGTTATATCCGACGTTGAGGACGTAAACCGACGACATGGTCCCTTCATTATCACCGAACGCGAAACAGCCGAGGACGGTTTTCCCGTCGGGCGTCACGTGAAGAAATTCGCAGCCCGAGGCTGGCTTCGAGATTTCCAGCGGTTTTGGGGTCTGGAAAGACGATTTTTTGAAAGGAATGAGCACTAGAAATGTTTTTTATGCTCTATCTATTTCATTAAATTTATGCATTGCTCTTCTCGAGATTTTTTCTTTTCATACAAAACTGCATTCATTTTTCAACTAATCAATTGGTTTATCAAAAGTTTCGGGGTCTGGAAAAGTAGGAGAAAAATTTGATAACATTTTTGATAAACATTATTTCGTTAAGGTAAGATATTTTGATAGAATAAGGTATTAAATTTTCATGAAAAAGTTGATAGAAATGCTTTTTTTAATTATTTTTTGCTTCATAGGGTAGTATATTCTATATTTTTTTAGTTAAAATAGATCAATAAAAGTTTCGGGAAGATGTTTTTGAGAGAAATGAATATCAAAATTGAACGAAAAAAAGTGATAAAGTTGTTTTTTTCGAGGTTTTTCTAACTCAGAAATGGTTTCGAGGTCCCAAAAACAAATAAGATACCACATAATTGAACAAAAATTGCTTTTTTTGAAATCATTTTCGTGAATTCATACGAAATGTTCAATATTTTAACTCAAAAATTGATCTCCAAAGGTTTCAGGTCCCAAAAAGTAGATATTTCGAAAAGAATTAATGGTAAAATTGCTTTTATCGAGGCGTCTCTTCATACGGAAGTAAACTGGGAAAATTGTTAGTGGCCACTATAGTAGTCAAATTAGTCGCCACTTAAGGGGTTGAATATTAGTGGTCACTATAGAGGTCTAAATGGTACTATTAGATGACTAAAACTACTAAAGTTGCCACTAATGAACAAATAGTGGCCTCTATAGAGGTTGTTTTAGTGGCCACTTCAGTGTCCTCTTCAAGTGGTTCTTGAGGAGCCTCTATAATGAACACAAGAAGTTTTTACAGAAACCTCAAATTTTAGCCTAGGCATCAATTTCCCCACGTTTTGAAGACCAAAAATGGAGATTATTCGAAAAAACTCAAATTAAAAATTCTAGTTTTTGGAGATTTTTTTCCTCCATATGTAACGATTTTCTTTATCTACACTCAAAAAAATCGATTTTTCAAAAGATTCGAAATGGGGAATAAAAAAACAAATTTAGTTCAAGTTGTTCGAGATTTACAGTGAAATCTATAAAAAAATGCTTTTTTTGACAGTGTCTGGGTCAAACAGAAAAAAAAGAAAGTTCATAAATTCATTCACAAAGTTCTAGTGAGGATCAGAAACTTTATGAAGTTCTCTCTTTGAAAATGTTGAACAAAATATGCGCTTCTATTTCAGACCTCAAATCACAATAGAGTTATTAACCCTTCCAAATTTTTTACAAGCTCTACAAAATTCCCTCAGCTCCTCCACAATCTCAAAAATCACAAGACTTCCGTTCCATCCGAAAAAAAATCGGAACAAACCCTCAAATATTTGCACAACACACAGGCTTCGATTTTTTGTTGGTTTCATCATTTTTTCTGTTGAAAATTGCAGGACAAAAACCAACATCGAGGACGAAAGTTGGCCGATTATTGCAGTTGAGAAGCCGGGTTTCGACGAAACGACGATCCAGTTGCATTTGACTACGGCGGCCCATTTGAAGATCTGATTATTAATCTTTTTTGTACAGTTCTCAAAACAGAGATTTCTTTATAGTCGATTCATGGCTAAGTCGAGACGAAAAGGGGGCGTGGCCTGTCTGCGCTCTCCACCAACTAAGCACTATCTCATTTTTTATCGTGTCAGGACCCATTTTTCCATGGATCAAGGCAGCCGTGAATCAGATATAACTAGGGGATAATCTCTGGTCAAAGTGGGACTTCTGAATGAGACCATAGATGTAGTTTTCCACGCTGATTTCAAATCTGGTCTCAAAAATTGTAGATAAAACCTGTGAAAAAATCTACGGGCTATCAGAATTCAAAAATTTCAATGTCTCCTTTGGAGCTTATTTTTCTGATTATATATAGATCCTGTTCTACTGATAACAAAATAACTTTCCCCAAAAACATCTTGATTTTGGAGATCCTTTCCGATCATACATGCGCAGACCCTAGGAACTCCAGAGTGGTCCCTATAGGGGCTGTTATTTCCCTATAAGGGGCACCCTGGGGTTCCTAGGAACTCTTCTTTCAAGCCTTCTAGATTAAAGTCCAACCATCCATGACGGTTGTCATCGGACGGATCACGGGTCTCAGGGCGAAAGAGCCCGAGGCGATTCTCGGGCGGTTCGAGGCGAGCATCGCGGCCCGCTCGCGGTCCCGTCGCGATTTTTCCAGATCCCGTCTCGAATAGCCGGAAATCTGGAAGAGAAATCATATATATTCATGATAGAAAAGTCATTTTTCTTGAAAATCCTAAAAATTCTCCGAAATTTCAAATCACAGGGAAACTTTAAAGGCCCCTATAGAGGCTCGCCAAGGACTACTTAGAGAGGACACTATAGTGGCCACTTCAGTGGTTTTTCATCCAGTATTCCTTCCTGTAACTCTGATAATTTTAAAACAAACAGATTGGACCAGTTATGTTGATCCATTGACCCCTAAAGTGGCCACTGATATTTTTAGTGGTCTAGTAGTAGCACTTAGACCTCTATAGTGGCCACTAAATTTTAACCCCTTAAGTGGTACCTAACACTGTGGCCACTAAAACGTCAAAACCCTATAGTGGCCACTAAAAATTTCAGAAATTTGAGGTTTCTGTGAAAACTTCTAATGGCCACTATAGAGGCTCCTCAAGAACCACTTAAAGAGGACACTGTAGTGGTCACTAGAACAACCTCTATGGAGGCCACTATTTGTTCATTAGTGGCAACTTTAGTAGTTTTAGTCATCTATTAGTACCATTTTGAACTCTATAGCGGCCACTAAATTTTAACCCCTTAAGTGCCCACAAATTTGACTACTATAGCGGCCATTAAAACGTCAAAACCCTATAGTGCCCACTAAAAATTTCAGAAATCCTCATTCTGCTTTCAATTTATATAAGTTAGAACAAATTCTGTCCCAAAAACTAAAATCAAAAATCAAAAAAATCTTTAAAATCCCTTTCCGGTCATTTTTTTCATATGATCTTCCATCTACTTTCTAGAAATTTCCCCTCAAAATATTATTTCGACCATCAAAAATTCCACATTCTCGTAACGTTATCAGTCCCTAAACCAAAGAAAAATGACACTTTTGATAAGGAAACTGTCAAAAAATGAAACTGATAGTATTTCTCAACGGAAAATGTCAAAAAAAGAGAAATTATGCGATTATACTTTTTTTGAAATGAATATTATAAAAATCGCTTAGGAAGCTCAATTTTAAAACAAACTTATGACATTTGAACCAAATTTCATGCAATGAAAGGGGGAAGAACACTTTTTCAAATCGAAAGCTCAATTTTACATCAAATTTTACGTTGAAAAAGGGTGATGAACGAATTTTCATACTATTTTGATACAGATTTACACATTTTCAGTCAATTTTGGTCAATTTTAACACAGTTTTATTGTTTTTTTATGCAACAAAAAAAATAAGATGGCGTGATTATTTTTTTATAAAAAGTCAATAAAGAAACTTTACCAGTTTTATTGATTTTTTTATATTAATTAAAGTTCCATGATTTTTTTCCTTCAATGAAAGTGGTTGTAGAATAATCGAATCATCAAGTACCTCCAGCCATTTTAAAAATGTTGGAGCGATAAAAAAACGTCATTTTTGCCGTTTTTCTTCAAGAATCCAACGAGCAAACGTTCAAAAATCATAAAAATCTTTGCAGAGACCCCAGAATTATCATCGGCGATCCGGAAATACTTCTTCGTCTCGGGGTTGTAGTAGAACCCGGGCAGTTTCAGGGGACCGCCTTCCTGGGTTCGCCAATCCTCGCAATTTTGGTTTATCTGACCTGAATTTATTCATTTAACTCAACACAAAAATACAGAAGATTTGAGTGAAGGGGAACCTGATAATATAAAAAAATTCGAATTTCAGCACGAAAACTTGAAATTTCCCTTCGAAATTGGGGTTTCGATATTGGATAGATGAATTAAAATCGAAAAACTTTCATTTCTGAGCCTCTAATTTCGCAATTTTTAGGGTCTTTTTCCGATTTTCCGTGAGAAATTTTTAAAAATCCTCAAGTTCCCTGTAACCTGACTTCAAAAAAAGCGAAAAAAATGGGTTGAATCTAAATAAAATAGAACAGAAAAAAATATGTTTTCATGGACTTTTTTTCGAACTTTGTTAATCGAAATTTCAATGAAAAAGCCAGTAATTTTTCTCAAAACCCTAATTTTTAAAAACAGCGAAAAAAATGCCTCGTAAAATAAGAAAAAAAGTCCAAAAAAATGAAACTTTTTCAAGAAATTTTTTTAATCAAAAAAATTTAAAAAAACCAACCCGAATAATGACTCCCCGTTCAACGACGCATTCGCCATGTTTTCACTATTTGGTTCTTCTGAAATATTCAATTTATTCAATAACTAAACGTAAAAAGAACTACAAAAACTAAAATAACTAAAAAATAAAATAAAATATCAATCATTATCAAAATTTTCGAGTTAAACTACAACTTCTTCAAGATATAAGGTTCAAAATGTTGCCTGAAATCGACAATTTTCGCGCCGAAATTGATATTTTTGAAAATTCCATTGAGCTTCATCAAACACACGAAAATTTCAGAAAATCAAATTTATCAAAAATTGCTTTTCGAAGTGATTATCTTTTTCAAATACACAGGTAGAAGTCAAGGATCTGTCACTTTTAGAGGAAACTTGAAATCACAGTATTCTTTTATGAAGGAGCTATATGTAGCGCAATGTGCGCAAGCTTGTTCAAATTCTTATTTCTTTCCGAGTCACATAACCGTTCCGGGGGAAGCTTCCTTTCAATGCGCGCGGCTTTTCTCTCTGTATGCGCCTTTAATTTGGCCTATGTTTCCGTTATAATGAAGGCACATGCAGAGAGACACGCTGTGCGCTTCGAAAAGTAGGGTTCTGTAACTCGAAGGAAATAGCTACAATACCCGGCTCTCCGCTGCCGGTTTCTGGGCGTGCGCCTTTAATTGGGCCCGAAAAATTTCAAATTATTAAAGGCGCATGCACAGAAACCGGCATCGCGCATCGAAGGAAAGGCCGGAAAAAAAGAGACAAGCCTTAGGAACTCCAGAGTGGTAACTATAGGGCTCTTGGATGGTTCCCTTTAGGGACGACTTTAGCAACATCTATAGGGGCAATTGAAGCTTGCAAAAGTGGTCCCTATAGGGGACATGCCAGTCGATAATTTCTATGAACTCTAAGAAGCTTTTCTATGCGAATCGTGAAGTAAATCGAAAGACCCCTATAGGGACCACTCAAGCTTTAGAGGCAATGAGGTCCGACCCTAAACCCCTATAGGGATCACCTTGATTTGACCCCTATGGGGACCACTTTTCGGCACCTATAGGGTTAAATTTTGATGGCAAAAACTGAATAAATAATCGTGAATAAATTTGACTGACCCCTATAGGGACCACTCAAGCTTTAGAGGCAATGGGGTCAGACCCTAAACCCCTATAGGGACCACCTTGATTTGACCCCTGTAGGGACCCCTTTTCGGCCCCTAACCCCCATAAAATCTGGAATTTCTAGCGCTTCATTCCCAGCAGACCTTGCTGGAAGTTCCTCGGTTGTTGTTGATGGAACTGACGACCCCGGCCGCCACGGAATCCTTGGCGACCGCGGTTTCGGAACCCGTGCTGCTGATAGTTGTTGTAGTTCTGAAAGTTATAAACCAATCAAAAAGTCATAAATTTTTACAATCCGTATGATTCATAGTAAATCCAGCACTTCAAAAAAACCAAAAAACATGATTTTTTTTTTTCGACTTCTCCAAGTTCATATGCAACAAATCGATGAAAATGCATATATTTTGAAAATTTTGAATCATTTTTTCACGAATCTATCGATAAATCCAAGAAAATATCGTAGTTCTATACTGTATTTATACCTTTTTTTCTAACAGAAAAAGCGAAAAACCAACGGCATTTGGCTGCTGAGCGCGATTGACGTTGTTCCAGTTGTTCTTGTTATTATGATTATTATTACTGTTCCTGCGGCGAGGGGCTAAAAATGTTCATTTAGAGGAAAAAGGAGCTGTTTTTTAAATTATTTTTCAGGTCATCTGACAGGGGGAAGTTCAAAAGGGCTCAAAAAGGATTTTTGGAAAAAAAAAGGCCTCTAAAAGACCTCAAAGGCGTCTTTTTTTCTAGATCTTTTAAAAAGTCTCAAAAAGATAAGGCGGGAAAAGGTGGAAAAAGGAGATTCCGAGAAAGTTTTGACACCTTTTCAGGAACTCAAAAAGGAGGCTCTTCTTTTCAAGGCTTTTTTGAGGTCGTTTGGACTTTGCCTGTGTGATCAATTCTGTCATTTCTTCGCGTTTCAAGAATTTTTGGAACAAAAATTGGGATTCTTTTAAATATTTTCATTGAAATATTAGTACTAAACACTGAAAATATCATGTATATACACTATAATTGCATAAAAATTAAGAACACAGGTATTATTATATATATATATATATATATGATCATTTGGAAGCAATAGGAATTGAGCAAAAACTATAATGAAGCTAAATTTCTCTCGAAAAAATCTTTTTTATATCAAACTTTGATCAGAAACAAGTCAAAAAAATCATTGAAAATAAATTTTCAAGTTGGAAGCTAAAAAAGAAAGAAGTTACTGATTAATTCTGATTCCTTGAACTAAAACTCAAAAATTAAACAACAACCTTTTTCGAAAAATATATATATTCGAAAAAAATTACTTCAAAAAAAGTTAAAATCTGTTCAAAAAGACTCGATTCTCTAAAAATAACACCAAAAAAAGCTCTGAAATTCAAGGCCTCAATGAAAAAAAATAGTATTGAAAATGTTTTCAAAGCTCCTGCAAGGATCTCAAAACCATTAGAAAGTACAATAATCCTTAGAAATTTAAAAGTAAATTCGTCAATTTCAAAACCAAAACTATATCCGTTCAAAACTACTTCGCGAAACAAGCAAAATCAAAAAACGCGTAAGAAGAAATGGGTCCTACAACGAAATGACGACTTTCACAAGAAACAAAGAAAATTAAAATGTCTGAACGTTTTTTACGCGAAATTTCGAATTCGCGTGAAAAAGTGACCGTGTAGGTCTCTCAAAATCCCAATTTTTTTGAAATTATTCGGGCGTTTTTCAACGTAAAATTCAAATTTAAAAAAATTAAAGGGACCCAATATTTTTTTCACGGCCTATTTTCGCTTATTTCACGAAACCATTTTGAACGAAAAAAACGCGACATTTTGAAAAAAATTCATCAAATAAACGAACCTGCAAACGCTCCTTCTGGAATCACATCCTCGCGCCAGGTTTTTATTATTACGATTATCTTCAAAAAAATATTTTTTTAACCGGAAAATATTCCCAGAAAACTCACTACTGTTCATGAGTGTACAGGGATTTCATGCGTTTCCGTTTGGAGCTTATTTTGGCGACGGTTTGAAACCAAAAAGACAAAATTTATGATAATATGAAGTAGTGGAAGGGGTTGTGGCAGTGCTGGAAAACTTTATTTCGGAATTATTATGATGGGAAATCTTTATCATCGAGCAAAAATCGAAAAACCGAAAAAAAATAAATAACTGAGGCTTGAAATGAAACTTCTTACACTACATATTCCGAAAAAAAAAGCGATTTCAAAGCATTTTTGCTTGATTTTAAGACAAAACTCCTTGTTCATACATTGAAAAACCACTCCAAAAACGAAAAAAATTGATTGAGGCGAAATTTCAAAGAAACAGCCGTCGAAAATGAAACGTAATCGGATTAATTTCATTTATTTGGCTTCAAAAAACGGTGAAAGGATTCTTTGACGCTTCAGAATGGGATTTGGGGAATTTCGAAGCATGCACTATTTTTATTTTTAGGACATTTTTGCTTCGACCTTTGAGAAAGCCATGATTTTTAATTCATTCACAATTTTAACGATTTTCTACTTACATAATTGTGTAACTAAACAAAAAAATGAGTTTTTGTTAGCATACCTTTAAGCAAAATCAAGAAATAAAAGAATAAATTTGAAAATTTGAAGATTAGAAACTTATCCCATATTGAATCAAGAAACTAACATTCAGTGGCTCAATATTGTCATCCTTATTCAAAAAAAAAACAAAAAAAACCCGAAAAAAACCGTTCAAAAAGTATAAAAATTAACTTTCAACCGAAAAATCAAAGATTATATCTTAGGATCCGTTCGATTTTTTTGTGCGCGAAACGTGCAAAACAAGAAGAAACGAAAGTCATGTGAGAAATCTCAACGGAAAACAGTTTTTCATTGCATCTAGGAAAAAAAATTTCTCAAGATTTTGTGATTCATTCTTACAATTTGAAAAAGTGAGCTAAATTGATAAACCAAATTTTTTTCGTGAGAACGGAAAGCAAAAAAATTTGATACAAATAAAAAAAGAAATTTTTAACGGACTTTCGTACTATCTTCTGTTGCTTTTCGTTATTAAAGACCAAAGTACAATTGCTTTTTTGAGGAGTTATAAGACAAAAAACCAAAGAAAAAAAATCGCAACAAATCAAAATTTGCCACTTGAAACCGCCATTTATTACTTGCGTGTTTGTGAAACCAACTTCAACATATCTTCAAAATAGAAAGAAATAAATATCCTTAAAAAGAACTCTGTGTAAAAAAATTGATCAAAAAGATAAATACGGAAAACTCACAAAAATTTTTGCCATCTTGAAAATTCATCGAAATTTAATCTTTTTCAAACAAAAATTAACACTAGACCTGTAGAAATAGTTCCTCAACAAGGAAAAAACCGAAACCCTGGAAAGAAAAAGAAAATTTGAACAGTTTTCCCCTAAAGAAATATAAATATTTTCCTGAGAATTCAATACTAAACCTCAGGGTCTATTTGCTTCATGGGTGCAAGAAAACAGATAAACCAAGACGGAATGTAAAAGGGGTCATGTGGAGGAAAAGTTTGAATGGAAAACAAATAGGCAGTTGCTGCCAGCCGGCCAGTCACAAGTTCACAGTACACCGGGTGATTTGCGCGTTTACTCCGGCGCTTTGGTGCAAGCACGCTGGCTGCAAAGTGCATGACAAAAAGGAAATTTTTTTGAAAAATGTTTTTTTTTTCCTTTATTATTTTTTTTTCTGACGACATTTAAAGCTATGCAGAAACATTGTAAACATCTGTGATAAATGGGACGCAAAATAAAACTTTATAAAAGCGATTTGAAAAAGAAACAACGACACACGGTAAATCCGGTTTTAATTTGGGTCACACTTTTACATCACATCTTTGTTACTTTGTTGATTTGTTTTTTCGCGATAAGACACGTTTCTGAGCGATCAAAGAGGAGGGAATCGATTGAAGTTTACTTTGTTTTATCTTCCGAGGCCTGGAAAACTTTTTGAAAACGTTTAAAAATTTGAAAAACTACCAAATCTGGAGCGGATTTCGAGTCAGTTTCTTGCTCCTCATTCAAAGTCGTCAAAAAAAGTTTCGATTGACAGGTGAAACTGGAATGATTTATATATGAAATTAATCAGAAAAAAACCTGGCGCCGTGGTAATAATTGTAATTGGCCGTCGTTTATCCAGCGTGTTGAGACTTTTTATTGGAAGTTTCAGAACTTGTGCGGATTCTGAACTTTTCTTTTGTAGGAAGCTATTTATTTTCTAAAATTGAACCTTGGCAACTTTTCAGAGAATCTTCGTCGCAAACTTCCTTCCCGGGAGCTTGGTTCTGAAGAAGTCTTTTTTTAAATAAGTTTTTTTGAGGATTTTTTTGAAGGAACATAGGGACATTTTTCTGAAAATTTTTTTCAAGGGAGGGGCCATTTCCGGCGTTATTTCTAGTGATAAAAGATTGATACAACTTGAAAAGTATTTTTATATATCAATTTTGAAGAGATTATAGAAGAAAACTTCACATTTCCTTCATGATTTGATTGGAAAATTGCCTCAGTTCCAATTTATCAGTAGATTTTTCAAAAAGAAATTCGTAAAATAATGACAAAAACCCACTGAATTCTTGCAATTTTTCCGAATTTATATAAAAAATATAAAGAGTTATGTGAAAAAAGGATAAGTTACAAAAATAATATCAATAAAAAAATACGAAAAACGTTTTTTTACTGGTTTCGGAAAAAAATTTTTTTGAATATTGGCGATATCGCAAATTTTTTTGAATATTGGCGATATCGCAAATTTTTTTGATTATTGGCGATATCGCGAATTTTCAACATTAGCGATATCGCGAATTTTTTTTTCGCGATATCGCAAAAATTTATCTAAGAATAAAGTATTTTCAGGTCAATCACTTCTTGAGGAATTTTCCAACAGTCTATCAAACTAATTTAGGTCAAAACCCCGACCAATTTCCTTGCCGACCGGCTCGACGTGGACCATTTTGACGGCTTCTGTCGACGGGGCTAATCTGAATGAATTTTTTGATCATTTCCCATGGTTTCATCAGGAAGCTCACTCGACAGCCGTGGCGGAACCAGCCAGAGGTTGAGAATTGCTTCTGGCTTGGCTTTCCGCGGAATACGACGGTTTATAAGAGGGATCCGCAAATTTGTCAACGACGATGGGTGGATGGAAGGCGTGGGTGTCGTCTACTATAGCCATTCCTGTCTGAAACATTATTCTCATGATATTATTCGAATTTCCAAGATTATGACTCAAAAGCCTACTCTCAGGCAAAGATTGAAAGGGAGAGGCTCAAAAAAGGGTGCAGAAAGGCGGGAAAAAGAGTCCTTTTCATTTTTCAGGGATTTTGAAGGCTCAAGAGATGGTGGAAAAAGAAAAAGGTAGCAAAAAATGGTGCATAACAGGCGCAAAAAGGAAGCGAAAAAGGAATTTTTGGATTCTCTGGATCTTTTTCCACCCTTTCCGACTTTTCCGGTTCAAGAAAAAAATCAGAGTGTGAAATTTATACACGAGACGGCAGAAAAAAATTTAAAAAAATTTAAAGGAACCTTAAAAAAAACAAGGCTTTCTTTTTAAAAACCAGTCCTGGGAGCTTTTCAAGGCAGATTTAGGTTAACTGAAGATAAAATAACTATTTTTGGGAAGTTGCCAATTTATTTTCTTTCAAAACTGGGTGTTGCTTTAAAAAAACAGTTCTCACTATGTTTTTTAAACATTTTTTTCGATTTTTCTTTTTTTCTACTCGAAAAATGGATTTTTCCCAAAATTCTAGTGATTTTAACAATTAGCATCCTGATGTTGCGAAAATAAAATTATTGATTGATTAAAAAAAGATTGATTGAAAAAAATTTTTTTGTTAAAATAGAACTTGAAGAATGGGATCTACGAAACTACTTGAAACTGATATTGCACGGGAAATCTCCGCCCGAAAAATTTTTTTCAAAATCACCTCGAAAAAAACTTCGGAATCATTGACACTCAGGTCTTCCAAAACTTTCTTAAATACTTCAAAAAGAGAAAAAAATAAGAAAAGTCAGGTTTTGCCTCAAAAAAATCTTCCGCTTTTCATCGTCTTTAGAGTTTTCACAGTCGTTCTGTCACTGTGAGAATGGATCTTCTCAATATTCTACCGAAAAACTTTTTTTACGATTCCCACATAAAATCGGGACGTGTAAAGCTGATCATGCAAAAAGATTTAATCAAACTCTACTGACCTAAAAGAAAAAAAATTTAAATATACATAAAATGCAATTACAAATAAATTTAATTTAAAATGCAATAAATTATACACAATATACAAAAGGTTACTATTATCTATATTCACTATACTTTACTACTCTACTGAAATCGTGCAAAGGCAGTGCCTATGCTGGCATTCTGCAAAAAAAGTTGCATGCATTGTGCAGATCAGAGCTTTGCATTTTGCCCAGAAGAACCTCGCATTTTGCATTTCTTTTTGGGCTCACTTTTGTACAGACGAAAAAAAGTGCAAAATGCGAAGCACTGATTTGCCAAGTGCATGAAGCTTTTTTTGCAGAATGCCGGCATAGGCACTTTTGCAAAAATTTTGTCGAGCACATCCATGAATTACCGAATTAAAAAGTCATTTTCTATCATATAAACTGCGTGAAACGGATGTCACACGGGAAATTTTCCTCCAAAAACATACTTTTTCCGTTCTTTTTCGAGTTTCGAATGAACTTTCTGAGGTCTCCGTGTTCAAAGTGATTCCGGGACAGTCGTCATGACCGTTAGAGAGTGAAAAAGATAACTAAATCTTGGAGAGTCAGAGATAATTTTGAATTTTGAGAAAGTTACTCCAATCACAGGCTTTTTCTTCAAACTTGTAACGTCCTTTAATTTTTTCCATTCAAGAAACCTTACCTAACTCAAATCTCAAAATGGTTCCCTTTTTTTCCAATTAAGTTATCTTCAAAAAACCACAAAGACGTATAGCCGATTCACCACTAACTTGTCTAGACAACTAGGAACTCCAGAGTGGTCTCTATAGTGGCAATCTTAGGGGCCCTTGGAGGGTCCTCTCTAGCGAGCACTTTACCAACCCCTGTAGGGGCCACTAAAGCTTGCAACAGCGGTCCCTATAGAGGTTTTAGTTAGTGGCCCCTAAAGGGGACATATTGGTCGGTATTTGTCATAAATTTCATGCTAAGAAGCATTTCCATGGGAAAAATGAATCAATAAGCGTTTTTGAATGAAAGACTCCCTATAGGGACCACTTTAATTTTACCCCCATAGGGGCTCTTTTTGGACTTTTATAGATGCTGTTTTCCTTCTCAACCCCTATAGGGACCACTTTGGAATTCCTAAGAACCTACTGGGAAAATTTTTAGTGGCCAATATGGGGTTTCGACGTTCTGGTGGCCACTATAGTAGTCAAATTAGAGGCCACTTCAGGGGTTAAAAATAAGTGGCCCCTATAGAGGTCTAAGTGCTACTACTAAACCACTAAAAATTTAGTGGCCACTTTAGGGTTCAATGGATCAAAATAACTGGTTCAATCTGTTTGTTTTAAAACTATCAGAGTTACTGGAAGGAACACTGGATGAAAAACAACTGAAGTGGCCACTATAGAGGTGGGTTTAGTGGCCACTTTAGTTTCCTCTCCAAGTAGTCCTTGCCGAGCCCCTATAGTGGCCCACTAAAAAAAGTTTCCCAGTATTCTTTATCGTTTATTTTTTTATTTTTTTATGGCTCAAGCCAGGAAAAAGCTATATCATCTCATTTTGAAAAAGCTTCCTGAAGTTTTTAATTAAATTTTTCTTCTCCCTTCATTTTTTTAAGTACTACTGTAACAAGATATAATTTTTCTTGAAGTTCAATATTCACCGCAATATTCCGGTCAATGATATAGTTGGCCTCAAAATCGTCGTCGTCTTCCCCTAGCGGATTCAATAAACCTTCTGCGACCTGGAAAAATTTTACAATATTATGAATATTGAAAATTACAAAATCACCTTCATCCAGCCGACGATGAAAAATGAATTCGAACAACGGTCATCACCGGGAAAACAATGTCCATCTGATTTTTTTGAAAGGTTAAAATTTAACAATCAAGAGTAATTTAATATAATTTACATCTTGGTTCACATTGGTTAAGATATAAAAAAATTTATGCCTTCTGTTGAAAAATTAAAAAAATGGATCATTTTATTCAAAAAAATCACTTATAAAATACAACTTTTTCTAAGGACAAATAATCAAATTTTGCACTGAAAAATCGATATTTTTCGAATAAAAAAATATGTTTCTTCAAAAAAACGAGTTTTTAGAAACCGTGGCGGGACGACTTTTCAAGAGAGAAATTGAATTTAATCGTCGAAATTTCTACATTTTTCTCATAGAGAACAAAATTTTCAACAAAAACTATCAGAAAAGAGTTCTGGGATTCAAGATTTTCCGAAATTTGGCTCGAAATCTGTTTTCCATGAATTTCCCTGTCACATTTTTCTAAATAAAGTTTCTAGTTTTCAGGATTTTTCGAGGGTAATTTTTGAGCCATAGGAATAATTATTGAGAGTATCATTTAAATTAATGGTGGTCTTTTTGCTAACATAGCCCATCCACGGCTGACTTGGGACAGCGAACTTGGTCAAAAATGGCTCCGTTTGTGTATCTTCCGTATTATTTGCTTATCAATAATGCCACGAACTCGTTATGAACAAATACAGGAACAAGAAAGTTCATTTTTTATTCAAAAAAATACCCAAAGAACTCAAGATTTTTTTGCTGAAAAAAATAAAGTTATTAGAAACTGTTTTTTTCTTCAAAAAAATTTCCAAAAAAACCTTTTTATTTGTTAGGGAATTTGATTTTTAATCTTTTTGAATGGCTTTTTGAAAAAAATTTATAAATTTATACGAAGGTGAGCTTCTGATTTTTTTGGCTCAAACTCGATAAAATCAGCTTTTTTTGCTCAAATTTCATCATTTTTTTGAAAGAATTGATTGTTAAAAAAATACCAAAAAAATCCATTAAGAAACAAAAAAAGAGACAAAAAAATAATTAATTACCTTCACTTAAAAGAATCGTGATTTTGAGAAAAAATCAACAAAAACGGGGTTTTCCTACAAAAAGCTTATTTTTCTTTTTCTAAAATTTCATTTTCACCGTTTTTTTAACACCTCAAATCTCTAAAAATTCACCTGATGTCTTGAAGCCGGCAAATGTTCAGAAATAATGAACTGTCGACTCAAAAAGACACACAACAAAAATACACACGAACTGCAAGAAATACGACCTTAAATCAACATAATAAATCGAAAAAAGGAAGTATTAAAAGAGAACCTGTGGATAGGCGATGGGAATCGGGATCCAATCATATTTACACAGAGTTTCCAGTGATATCCGGAACTCTTTCAGGGCCTCAAATTATGATTTTTTTAAACTTTTGAAGGTTCTAAATGAGAGTCTACCAATATCAAGTTGTTGAAGGCGGTCGGTTGGTCGATGATTTTGTTCTGGAAACGGCGTTTTTTGATTGGAATCAAAATTTTCAATTTAAAAAACAGTGTACAACCCTTCTTTCATTTTATTTTTGGAGTAAAAACCAGAAAAAGTAGCCTTAAAAGCAGATTTTCCGGTGGTATGAAAAAAAGATCAGCGAAATTTCAAACGGCGACTTTTCCGATTTTTTCAAATCGCTAGGGAACTTTCCGACGGCCACCTTTCCGACAAATCTTTTTTTCCTGGGTTTTTTTAATGAATATTCATCGCATTTTTTTATGTTTTTTTGTGAACTATTTGAATCTACTGAGGTGAATTTTTAAAAAGCTACCTACTGATCTCAGAAAACTTGCAATTGAATTTTTCTTGTAATATCTCATCCGCGGATGATTCTCTCAAAGTTATTGTGAAATAAAGTTGTGAAAACCAAATTTTTTCGTGAGAAAATTTTTCTTCCAGACCAGATTTTTGATAAGAAACTAGAGTTTTTTACAAGTTTCTGAGCCAAAGCGAGAAATCAAAGAATTATTCCTTGGAAATGATACGTAACGTTATTTTTACTCTTGAAATTTGTCAACCCAGCTCACAAAAAATCAGTTGAAGCTTCATTTAAAAACTGTTACTTTTCAAGGCTCATATATACATTAAAAAAAAAAGAATATAGACGATTCACGGCTAGCTTGGGACGCAAAAAGGCGTGGCCTTTCTGCACTCTCCACCAACCAGGGCACTGTCTCGTCTCTTTTCGTGGCAGGACCCTTTTCTCGATGGCTCAAGCCAGCCGTGAATCAGCTCAATGAAGATTGAAAGATTACTTCTTCAGCTTTCTAAAATTCTTCATAAAGAACCAAAGCTTCCTTTGTTTGACGATATAGTTCATGGTCATTCAGATTCCGTTCGTTTTCATGATTTTATTTTCCGAAAACTATGGGTTTCTAGGGGAAAAATTAGAAAATTATAGTCTGTTCAGATTTTTAATGGCAAGTGCAATGACGTCATTCAAAAACACTCTGTGAGTGGCTCGCTCTCTGATTGGTTTATCGCACCGTTAGGGGCGGAGCTTGAGCGACGAATTGACATTCAAAATCTGAACAGACTACAATAAATTTTTATCGATGGAGCGACTAAAACTAAACTATAGTCTGTTCAGATTTTGAATATCAAGTCGTCGCTCAAGCTCCATGGCACGATAAAGAGAGCGAGCCATTCACATAGTGTTTTTGAATGACGTCATTACACTTGACATTCAAAGTCTGAACAGACTATAATCGAAGCTGGAAAAAAACCTCTTTTATAAAAACCATTTTTTTCCGACAAGTAAATTTATTAATTTCATTTTTCGCAGTTCACAAAAAGCTCAACTTTGAAAATTCGTCCGACGCAAACTAAGGCAAAGTCGAAAAGGGTGGAAAAAGCTCGAGAAATGTTCCTTTTTGCTGCCTTTTTGCGCCATTTCATCGACTGTTATGCACCATTTTTGTTGCCTCTCCCTTTTTCCACCTTTTCTTGATCCTTTGGAGTCCCAGAAAAATGGAAGGCTCGTTAAGGGTTTTTCCTGCCTTTCTGCGGCCTTTTTTGAGCCTTTTGCAACCATTATCCACCATTCCGAGTTAACTCAAGTCTTGAGATATGAAAATTTCTATAGGATGTATACGAGCTACCGAATAAGAAAGTCATATTTTATCATATAACCTGCTTGAAACGGATAACGAACGGAGAAAAAAAAAATCGATTTTTCCGCTAAGTCTTTTTTTTCATTTTCAAACAAATTCAAACTTTTTGAAGTATGCTTGTCACTTTCAAGGCCTTTTCTTTGGAACTTGTACTCTCCTTATTTTTTTCTCCATAAAAAGCTCAAGTTTCCAAAATTCTAATGAATTTTTATTCTTTTTAAAACTCACATTTGTAAAATTTGTCTGAAATTCTCCTCTTTCTTAGGTGGTATGAAAAAAACCACCAGCGAAAATTCAAACGGCGACTTTTTCCGATTTTTTTCATATCGCTAGGGAACTTTCCGACGGCCACCTTTCTGCCGAATCCCTTTTCGACTTTTTTTCGCTTAAGTTTTTCGGTTTATAAAACATCTATAAACATTGTTTTTTTCTATTTCTTTGTGTTTTAATCATGAACCAACTACCTACTTTATATAGGAAGATTTGAAATGAAGATTTAATCGAGAAAAAAAGTCGGAAAGGGATCCGTCGGAAAGGTGGCCGTCGGAAAGTTCCCGAGCGATATGAAAAAATCGGAAAAGTCGTCGTTTGAATTTTCGCTGGTGTTTTTTTCATACCACCCTTTCTTACGGTTTTTTGAGTTTTTGATCTGATCAAACTCCATAGGCAAAGTCGAAAAGGGTGGGAAAAGGTTCCATAGAAATGTTCTTTGAGAAAGGTTCCTTTTTTACTGTCTTTTTGCGCCATTTCATCGGCTCTTATGCACCATTTTTGCTGCCTCTCCTTTTCTCCACCATTTCTTGAGCCTTTAAAATTGTAGAAAAAAAGGGAGGCTCGATAAAGGGACCCTTTTTGCTGCCTTCCTGAGACCTTTTTTGAGCCTTCTAGCGGCCATTATCCACCATTCCGACTGTACCCGAAAAAAAATGTGAAAGGCTTTTTTTCTTTTTTCTTTTTGAAAAAAATATTTCTTGTATTTTCAACCTGATGAGCTTCCAAGATAATGGAATTGGCCCAGTTCATCGGCACCCAATAACGGTTGCCAGGACGTGCATGGACGGCCTCCAAGTCGTCCAGCTCACTTTCCTCCAGAAAGCCGGCTTCAACCAGAGACAAAATATTCGGAAATCGTCTCCTGACTCTCATCGAGATGTCTCGGAACACGAGGACCTTAAAAACTATTATAAATTAATTTTTGATGATAAAACACCTGAGAAAGAACCACATATCGAATAATGGCTCTTCTAATGAGACGGGCCTCTTCGGTTAGGCCTGGAACTAGCATCGAAGTGGAGATGGCGACGCTGGAAAAATCGTGATTTTATCCAAATTCTCTTGTTGTAGTTTTCGATCATTTTCTTGGGACTGAATTTTTCACGCATAAGAAATTCCTAAAAACCTAGAATATCAGTTTGAAAAGGTTTTTATAGAGGCCATGACGTTGGAAAACTGAGAAAATGTAAAGTTTCATGGTAATTACCAAAGATCAGGCTAATGAGAATGAAGATATCTTGCTGAAATTCGCTCCGAAAATCACTCATTTCCAAGCGATTTTCTGCCAAAAAAGTATCTTTCCCCATATACGCCATCTTTTCACGTTAATTTTTTTCTGTGAGCTACAGAACCCTTCCCTTCGAGACCTGTCTCTCGAATGCGCCTTTAAAAAAAACCCGCAAATTTCCATACGAAATTAAAGGCGCATGCTCAAAAACAGGTCTCGCGTTTTGAAGGGAAGCAGAAAAAAAGCCAAGCTGGCTCAGATCTCTGTAACCGATAGAAAACTTTATCAAAGATTCATTGAAAAACCATTTCCCTACCAATGAATAAAATTCAACCTTTTAATTAAAGGAAAAAAAATAACAATAACAAAAATAACTATATAGCTGATTCACGGCCAGCTTGGAACTCTAAGGGGGCGTGTCCTGTCTGCGCTCTCCACGAGCCAGGCGCTATCTCGTGCATTATCGTGTCAGGACCCTTTTTTGATGGCTCAAGCCAGCCGTGAATCAGCTATATCAAGGAAACTGAAAAAACTATTTATTTTTCCGAAAAAGAGGAACCTCTCAATAAAAGGAAGCGCCGTCATAATGGCCCTCCATCGTTCGAAAACCGTCGTGACGAAGAATCCGAGCATAAAAGTCAGGGGGATATACTTCAATCGGTCGTCCATGTGATTCATCAAGTGTTCCAAAAAGCTGAAGTGGGGAAAATTTTGAAGACGGAAATTTTGATTTTTTTTTTGTCGACAAGTTGGCATCGAAATTTGAATTGAAAATCTTTTTTTGAGGAATTATTTGATCATAATTTTTTTGAATATTCAACTAAATGGTTTTTGTGAATTGTACTCTTTTTTTCTTCTGAATTTTCTTCATCCCTTGTGAGAAAAAAACGCAAAATAAATCAATAAATAAACAACAAAAAAACTCAATTTTTTTGCCCGTAAAAAATCAAATAATTCAATGATTCAAATGAAAAACCCACGTTTGAAAACTAGCCGTGGCCAGAAATCGATAGCAGAAAAAGATGAGGTAATAACAAACGAGCCAAATCGAGAGCTCCGTGATCACCGATTTCCATATCGATCCTTAAAAATCTCCTTTACCACAGAACTTTTCAGGAAGCCGCTTGTCGCTTTAAACTTATTGCTCTTTGAAAGCGTAAGTAAAAAACGCATCCGACACGAAACTACTTGCGCTAGGGACTATCCAAGATAATTAAGTAAATCATCCTCTTAACCGCGAGCCTTTGAGCCATTCCAAATGCGTCCAGAAATTCTTAGGCCAAGCTTACTCAGGGTTCCAGAGTGGCCCCTATAGGGATCAGGGGGGAAAACAACTCCTGTGGGACCGAAAAAGTGGTCCCTATAGGGGTAAAATAAAAGTGGTCCCAATAAAGGTTTAGGGTCTCAAGTGGACCCTATAGGGGATTCTCGATTTCCAACAAACGCATATTTATTCAGTTTTTCTTATGGAAATGCATCTTCAAAAAAAGTTATCGACCAGCTTTCCCCCTAGAGGGACCACTTTTGCAAGCTTTAGTGCCCCCTAAAGGGATTGGTAAAGTGTTCCCTAGGGGGATCCTACAAGGACCCTAAGGTTGTCACTATAGGAACCACTCTGGAGATCCTAAGATATCTTCCAAAAATAAGCATCACATTATAATCCTTCACTACGAAACTGTAAACTATGTAATTTTCTCACTTTAAAAACCCTAGTTTGGAATTCTATGGTCGCACATGGAATGGCTCAAAGTGCCGCACCTTGAGAAGCCTTTGCAGCCGACCTGAAACGACTTTCGGCGCAGTACTTAAAAAACATGATAGCACCATTTAAAGCCGTTCTCATCGCGATCAAAGTATTTCCTAACCTCTCCACCTAAAAAGCAGCCGAAAAAAAGTTCCGGCCGAGACGGAAGACACGATCAACTGATAATTTACGGTCATTTTCCTTAAAAAAAAACTTTGAAGTAACAAAAAAATGAAACTCAACGATTCAATGATTAAAGAAATGGCAAAATATGACCACTTTTCATGGAGAAAGGACAGAAAAACTGAAGTTAGGAAGGCTGAATCGAACCAACGTTCTCTTCTAGGCAACAAACAATAAAAAAAAAACCTGTAAAGATGAGTCAGAAATCAGTGAGAACGTAATGAAAAACTTCTTCGGGGAAAAAACGGAAATTTCACAACGAAAAATTAATCTTTTAGAACGTTTCTTCGGTCGTCCTTGAAGAAGGCACGTCCGTGAGAAGGAAGTTTTTCTCTCTCTCTCTCTACAACAAAGACGGAAAACTTCCCAAAAAAGGTTAAACGATCAATATTAGTTTCATTTCTACGATCAGCGACGTCTTCACTTAGTTTAAAGTGTGTCGCAAAAAAGGCTACCTTCAAGAAAAAACGGCAAAAGTGTTTGAAGCCCGATGCGGGGCTCGAACCCGCGACAGCCAGATTAAGAGTCTGGTGCTCTACCGACTGAGCTAACCGGGCCGCTGGTGGTTCAGGTCATCGACGGCGCCATGACGCCTCCGTGCGCTGAAGGATACGTTGTATAAGTTGAAATCTCGTCGTTTTCTTCAATTTTCAACTATAATTAATTGGAATTAGTTTGAAAAGGTCATACTACACACTCTCAAACACGAAAATCATCTTTTTGATTCGCCTGATTCGAAAAAAAGGCAATAAAAGTTACATTTCGATAACAAATCTCTTATCAATTTCTTTATGAACCTCCCCAGTTCCAGTCTGGCTCCATTTTCGCTCTAAATTCCAACTTTTGAACCTTCCAAATGACTGTAACTATTCAAAAAGAGCTTCTAAATGGCTCAAAGGTCACAATTTTGCCGAAAAAGGAGCAATCCTTGACTTTGGCTAGGAGAGTGGCTGCTGAGAAGAAAGCTGAGGTTCAAAATTTATTTTTAGTCTGTTTGGAACTTCACTTTCAAAGCTTTAAGGGTGTTGTATCATTTTGAGAACTTGTGAAAAATAAATGACTGATTTTTAAATTTTTCTAATGGTATAAGGAAGCTTAATCTTGAGGACGATCCAGTTAGGGCTTTATAAATTTCAAGATTTCCCGATTTTCAGGGTTGCGATGAAGCTTTCTACGTCGCAAACTTGGATAATATTATCGATCGGTTCAATTTATGGAAAAAGGAGCTTCCGATGTTCGAGGTAAGGCAAGGAAAGCTTCTAAAATCTGGAAAAATTCGTTAATTCTTCCATTTTTTTCGAGATCCTGGATGTAGATCTAGTACTACTGCAAAAAATATGTCTAATAACTATGATTTTCGAAATTTCAGCCATTCTACGCCGTCAAATGCAATCCGGACCCGGTTTTTCGTGAAATGTCTGGCCAGCTTGGGAGTTGGGTTCGACTGTGCCAGCAAACAGGAAATCGATCTGGTTCATAACTTTATTTTAAATTTATCCTCCACAGTTCAGAATAGATAAGCGCCAAGAAAGCTTATAGAAAAACTTGAAACTTCAAGAAAAGTTTTTTGAAATGAATTTTGAGCTTCTAAATCTGAAAATGACTGGAAAAAAAACTGTCCTAAACTTCAATTTTTGCTGGATTTTTTCAAAAATGAAAAGTACCATGCGATTTTCAGAAATGGCATCATATGAAAAACTAAAAATTGATTGAAGCTTCGAAAATTTTTTTCAAAGGTCCTCGATGAGTTTTGAGATTTTTTTCTTTTTCAAAAGTTCACCGAAAAATCGTTTTCTACTTCATTCACCGCTGAATTTTCTCAAATTTTGGAAATAACTTGATATTCTCAAAAAAAAAATAATAAATCCGTGAACTTGGAATCATAAAACCATAAATTCCACAAAAATTTCCTAAAAAGTATCATTTTGAGGTGACTAAAATGGGTGTCCGTCCGGAAAAGGTGATTTACGCTCACCCGTGTAAATCCACCAACTTTCTCCTACACGCCAAAAAGCTTGAGGTTCAAAAAATAATCATCTCTTTTGAATTACCTGATAAGAGTTGTTAAGATATCGCTGATGACATTTGATAACGCCGAGGAGCTGGAGAAAATCGCCGAGCACTATGAAAAGGCGGAGTTGGTCTTTTTTTGTTGTTTTTAACAGTTTAGGAAAATTGCTTTCTGTGAATTATTGAGTAACATAACAAATTTGAACTATATAATAATATACATATTTGATTACGTTAAGTTTCAAAATTGTATGGGGAAATTTTTGAACTTTGTTCCGTAGTTTTTCGTACAGCTTCTGAAGAATATAATACTGTTCACTAGGAAACATTATTTACCCCCCGTTTGAACTTTTAATGAAACTTTGCTCAAATGTACTTTAGAACCGCCTGATTCTAGAACAAGAAAAAAATTTCTCGCAATAGATCTCGTTTTTCGAGTTAGGACACTTCAAAAGCCCGAAATAGCGCTTTTTTGGCCTGATTTGCGTATTTTGCATAGTTTGAAGCTCCATAACTCGGAAACAAGATCTATTGCGAGAAATTTTCTTCTTGTTCTGGAATTAGGGGGTCCTAAAGTACATTTGAGCAAAGTTTCATTAAAAGTTCAACCGGGGGTAAAAATGTTCCCTGGTCAGGAGAAAATAAATAAATAATTTATAGGTATTTTTCCGAAAAATTCGCATAAAATAAAGTTTAAAAAAATCATTCACTATCCTGAAAGACTTTGACTTTTTGCAAATGAAGCTTAATGGCGTCTATTTTAATTTTTCGAAGAAGGAAAGAAATAATAATTAATTTTTAAAAAAAGAAATTAATAGTAAAGAAAAAAACGTGAAAAAAAGTATTTTTTTATACGAATTTCCATTCATTTTCAAGCTTCTGAAGGCACCAAATGACTATTTTTTTCAATTATCGAGAATTTCGATTTGGTTCTAGGAATTTCAAAAAAATACTCAAACTGTGGAAAAAATGATACAATAGGTAAACTATTTTATTCTCCCGTATAAAGAAAAATTTATATATTTTACTGACCTAATCAACTTCGAAACTTGCAAAAAAACTGCTTTAGAGCATCTGTTTTCAGTTTTTAATTCCAAAAAAAAGTTCGATAGAGATAAAAAATTTGAGAATATATAATATTCAAATCTATTTATCATATTTAAGCTTTTGAGTAAACCAAAAAGCCAGTTTTTCGGTGGTATGAAAAAAACACCAGCGAAAATTTTAGCGACTTTTCGATTTTTTCATATCGCTAGGGAACTTTCCGACGGCCACCTTTCCGACGAATCTTTTTTTCCGACTTTTTTTCTCCATAAAATCTTCGTTTTAAATCTCCCTATATAAAGTAGGTAGTTGGTTAATGATTAAAACACAAAGAAATAGAAAAAAACAATTTGATAGATGTTTTAAAAAAACCGAAAAATATAAGGGAAAAAAAGTCGAAAAAGGGATTCGGCAGAAAGGTGGCCGTCGGAAAGTTCCCTAGCGATATGAAAAAATCGGAAAAGTCGCCGTTTGAAATTTCGCTGGTGGTTTTTTCGTACCACCCAGTTTTCACGTAAAAATCGTCGAAATGTGGCCAAACATTATTTTCAAAATATAAGCCCAGTAAAAAGTAGGTTAATTCCAACTAGATAGGAATCATTCCATATATTTTTATGGCTTTCAAAACTTCAATAAATGCCTGAGAGCATCTTTTCTATTTGAAATTCAAGAAATAATCCCAATTTAGCTATAAAATGAGCCACTGGGAGTTTTGAAACTTCTCTAACTGTGCACAGAATAATAATTCTAAAGGAAGCATTAGTTTTTCCCACCTAGAAAGAAACCAAGTTTTAAAAAAGTAACAAAGAAACAACTTTAAATATTTTCTTTCCCGAAATCTCCATTTCCAGGCTGATAATCCGGATCGGCGTTGCCGATCTGACGGCCAACTGTCAGTTGAGCGTCAAGTTCGGCTGTGATCCGGAGCTGGAAGCTCCAGACTTGCTCCGAAGAGCCGCCGAGCTCGGGCTCAACGTCGCCGGCGTCAGTTTTCACGTCGGCTCCGGTTGCAACGATCCGACCGCCTTCCGGACGGCTTTGAAGCACACGAAACGGCTTTTTGGCTTGGGTAAACGCTTATTAATTAAACTAGGCAATACTAATAAGTTAGTTCACTGCTAAATTCACAGAAAAAGGCGTGGTAAAAAATCTAACCAAGGAAAAAATTCAATCAATAACGGATACAGAACCACAGAAATGCTTTTTGGCTAATCAGGGAGTGTTCCCGGCTCACAGTGGGACTTCAAAATTCCGACTTCGAAATTCCGAATGAGACAAGGTTTTCTAGATGTAGTTTTTAACGCTGATCCCGAATCTGGTCTCAAAAACTGCCCACAAGGTCTTTGAAAAAAGTCAGAGGCTCTCGAAGTCGAAAGATCCTGATTGAGCTCCTTTTTCATTTGAGATTAATTTTATCAATTTTTAATGAAAGAGGTTTTTTTCAATGATCTCGCATTGAAAAATCAAAAAGAAATAAAAACGTTCTAAACATGAAAAAGTCAAGTTTGCGAGAAGAAAGTACCGGAAAACAGGCTACTTGAACGTTCTCCTTACGGCTAGATAAATAAATAGTCAATTTCAGTTCCTATACTCAATACCACTTGTCTTTTTTTCTCAAAAAAGTCTATGAAATGAATAATTTTTTCAAAAAAGGCGATGAAAAAAGTATTGAAATTATTTCGATTTCATTTTTTCTTACTTGTAAATTTCTATGTAGAAGGGGAAGTGAAAAAAATTTTTGATAATAGAAAATAAAAAAATTCAAAATTTCAAGTGAATTTGAAAACTTTCCCTTCTTTTCATTAAGCCAATGAAAAATTAGTGAAAGAAGTTTATTTTTAAATCAGAAAAAAATCATAATTTTCACAGTATGAATTTTTTTAGAGACAAGCTTTGAATTTCTGTTACTTTCCTATTGCGAGAAAACGAATTTTTCCTTATTTTTAGTCCGATTTCTAAGAGAAAAACTATCATTTTTCATTAGAAACAGTACAATTTTTAAAATTCAATTCAAGCTTGAAATTCCGTGAAATTTCAGGAGCTTCCCTCGGTTTCAACATGAAAATGATCGACGTCGGGGGCGGTTTTCCCGGATCCGACCATCATTTATCATTTGAAAAAGTGAACTATCTCTGAGAGATAATCGAATAATTCTCTGATTAAGATCGCTGAAGTGCTTCGAAATGGGGTGGAAGAATATTTTGGCGATTCTCAAGTTCGATTGATCGCCGAGCCGGGAAGGTTAGGGTTTATTTTCAATTGAAATTTCAAGTTTTGCAATTTTATCGTTGGAAACGGCTGGAAAATACGGAATTTCCAAAGAATCAATATCAACTCATCATGAGGAGCGTCGTGAAACTTATCAAAAACTCCATAAGTTTAAAAACTCTGTTACTCTATTAGAGTTTTATGGGTTTTTGAAAGTCATTATCGGCAAAAACTGCTCTTTTCCATAGGCAAAGTCAGAAGGACCTTTTACGGGCCCTTTTAGCGTCCGTTATGAATGCAAAGGTTTCCATTAATTGTTCCTAAACGGGTTGCAACGGTTTCCTTTTACTGCCTTTTTCCGTCCTTTCATCCTTTCCGAGGCTTTTTAGTCCACCAACAAAGAAAGGCATAGGCAAAGTCGGAAGGACCCTCCGAGGGTCCATAAAGGACCATAGAAATGTTCCTTTTAGGGTGATGAAGGCTCTCTTTTTGCTGCCTTTTAGCACCATTTTCACAGCCCTTATGCACCATTTTTGCTGCCTCTCCCTTTCTCCACCATTTCTCGAGCCTTTAAAATCCCAGAAAAATGTAAGGCTCGATAAAGGGAGTCTCTTTGCTGCCTGTCTGCGGCCACCCCCTCTTTGCACCCGTTTTCCGCACTTCCGACTTAGCCCGTGTAATCAAAAAGAGACGTTTGAAATTTTTTTTTTCAGATTTTTCGCTGCTGCTGTATTCTCTCTAACTGTGAATGTGATGCATGCGAAAGCCGTTAAAAAGCTTCTCAAATCACTAATAATGGTTAGTTCAAATCAAATTTCA